TGGCAATGGGACCAGTCCGCATGCCTTATTTCTTAGCGATAGCGGGCCACCGATAAAATTGCCCTAAATCATCGAACATATGAGATTTCTGTGAGTGACGGAGCCGAATCGTCTATACGTTTTCCGGTTCATCACCTATTAGCTAAACCACGAGGTGGGTGTACTTCCCCCAGAATTTCTGTCAGGGCGAAGTCGAAATGGCCGGTGAGAGCGAGCCCAACAGGGCGGCAAATTGGTGCATGCTCTTCAACTAGAGCGAGATCTCGGCGGGCACAAGACCTCAGATGTTGGTAGATCTGGATACGGACCCGGATGTCATCGTTGGAGTCATACTGGTGATGGTCAAGAAGTTGTACGGCCTGTTGCGCTCGACGTGCGAAAGGAAGTGGCATAGTTGCAACACAAGTCCAGGAAGAACCGACTAGAAGTCACAAGAGTCCACCCGAGGTACTAGGGTGGATTATATAAGGAGTTATCTGGAGGCCCGTGATCAGGGCGAGAACTGTCCGGCAGAATTACAATGGTGAGTCATGTCTCCACTGTAGCTACATTGAAGCGGCTTGCATCAAATGCATTAGCGACGGTGTGTGAAACTTTCCGTTTTAGTGGTCGACAGCGTATTTGAACAAACTAATGATAACGTTAGCGTGAGAAGCCCCTCAAATGGCCTGAAGCAATGCTCGATGTGAAAACACTGGTTTAAGCGCCTGTATCGAGTTGGGCGTACTAATTTAAGGGGTTGCCTTTTTTTTGGTTCTTATGCAGATCAGGTCTAGGATTTGAACATGCTGATTATGAGACCGAATCGGTAGACCACCCACAGGAGTGGAAGATGACACGACAATTCTTCTCTATCTGGATATGCTCCGTTCAACGTTCTGCTCTGCCAAGTAGTAACCAAGCTTCTTGTAGACAAAGGTGGTCTGAATGAGCAGACATTATCCAGTGGCAAGACCCGATGCCTCACTATCACGTCCTTAGTCACTTCCTAGTACCTGCACCTCTATTTGCAATATTCTGCTGCTCTTCCGAGTTGGTACCGTAGCCGCAGCAAGATGCATTAGGCGGTAAGGTTACGGAAATAGCCGGACAGGTACGGTATTGGTATTTTACATTGTATAGTATTGGTATAGTGAAAGCTATAATAAAAGAGCAGATGTAGGGCGGTCTGTGGAAGCTTCTAGAACGAGCTTCCAACCACCCGACCTGCGGGGGCGGCACCCACTTCTCGTTTTGCCGTCCTCCCTCCAAAGACCTGCTTCCGTTCTGTTAAACTGGTAGCACTTGTTGGTCCCAGCAACCTGACTCAAGAAGCCCATGCCCACCATCGCCCAGCTACGCGCCGAGATCGATCGGCTTAACCAAGCGATGGCGGACCGCACGCGAGTGCCGAGCAACCTGCCGAAGTTCACCGGCAAGCGAGGGGAGGATGTCTGCGAATGGAGGTTCCAGATCGAGAACGCCTGTCGTATCAACAACGTCCCGATTAAAGACGAAAGCCAACGACTTCCAGGAATCGCTGGCTCGGCAATGGAGAAGCCTGCCTCCGGCTGGTTCCTGCACTGGTCTTCGACGACTCAACGCGAAGAGCACACGTAGGGGATTTTCCGTGAGCATGTGCTCCAACACTTCGAGGCGTCGAACTAACAGGCTGTTCTGCGCGAGTAGCATCAGCGGCTCAAGCAGACAGCGGACATTGAGACGTACAACGGCGAGTACTCAGCCCTCATCTTCCGCGTCGAAGTATGAGCGTCCTCGAACAAGTGCTGAGCTACGCGAAAGGTCTTAAGCCTCGCACGCGCAGCTGCGTCAAGCTCGAGAACCCTCAGACCAGCGACACGTTGGACTTGGCAGTAAAGTACGAGGTGACCCACTTCGTCGAAGAAGCACGCGACCGCCAACCCAAGCGCGACAAGAAGTTCTCGGCAGCTGAGCAAACGCAAGCCCAAGGCAAGCCTTTGAAAGGGAAGCCGTTCCGCGGGAAGGGCCGTTTCAAGCCGAGAGGTGAATCCAAACGTGCTGAGGGCCGTACCTGTTTCCACTGCAAAAATCCTGGTAACATCAAGGCCAACTGCTTTCTCTGGAGGAAAGAGCAGGAGAAGCAGGGAAACGGGCAACCACGTCAGTGAAGGAGGGCCTGCTGTGGCCAAGAGCGTAACCAGAACACATAAGACTGAGAATATAAGCCTTAACGTTCTGTGTGAAAACCCTCTGGTCTACAAGTCACGTCCGCTGTTCTCAGTAACTGGTGAGATCAGCGTGGGTGACAAGTGCCTCGCTACACGTAGCATGTTGCTGGACTGCGGAGCCACCACGATCTACATGTCAAAACGTTGGGTCATGGAGCACCAGCTCCGATCGAAGAAGTTCAGCGACAAGAGCATTCGCGTGAAGCTTGGGGACAACCAAATCGTGGAGGTGGAGCTGGAAGTTCTGCCTTTGAAGATCCACATGTCAGGTCTAGACGAGGCGTACCAGTGTGTCGCTGTCGTCTATGTGATACCCGACGAATTCGACTGCATCCTTGGGATACCTTTCGTTGAGGACACGCAGTCCCAGATTGACTGGAGAGGTCGACGAATTTAAGGAACAAGAGAGAACACTCTACGCTGGAAGCGGACAGGTGACACCTGTGGGCCGATCGAGGAAGGTGGACCGGTGATTGCCTCCGGGCTTCGGAGATCTGTCGAGGCGAAAGGCCTTTCGGCGAAAAGATCCTATTCCTGTTGAGGCGCCGCGCTCGAAACGGATGTGAAGTTCACGGACGACGCTGTTCGCACTGTAGCGCAGGAGGAGGCTCCAAACGTTGTCTGCGGACGACGTGATGACGCGCAAGCTGGCAAGCGTTCAGCTGTAGAAGCCGACGTTGCGACATCCGAGCGCGAGTGTACTGTACGAGAGGCCGACGAGCGAAGCAGTACCAGGGACAAGGACACCGTTGTGAAGAAAATGTTCATGATGGGTGTTATCGACGAGAGTGGTGTACATCACCCGCAAGAAACTGCGAAAGTTCCTGAGAATCAAGACCAAGTCGATCGAGGAGACTGACTTCATGTTGGTTCTCTCGAACGAGACGATCAAGCAAGTTGCACGCTCACTGCAACGACGAGACCAACCCGACAATGTTGATAGTGCGAAAGAACAGCGCTATCTGGAAACGGTCTGGGACAGTTTCCGTGAAAATCCAGCCTTCGATCTCCTAACAGAGTACAAGGACAACGTGTTCCATCCTGAGCTACCCGAATGTTTACCAGAGAAGCGCGACATTGAGCACCGGATCGATGTGAAGGATCCAAATCTGGCGATGTCCCGGCAACAGTGGCGACAGTCTCCTGAGCAGCAGCGTGAGATCGTGCGTTGGGTCGAAGACATGGTGAAGAAGAAGCTCATCCGACCAAGCATCAGTCCCCACGCAGCGCTGACATTCTGTGTCCGGAAACCAGTCGGTTGGAGAATCGTTCACGACTACCGGTATCTCAATTCGAACACTGTGCGCCAGAGCATCCCGATGACGAGGAAGGAAGACATCTTGGACGCCATGTCTGGAGCATACTGGTTCTCCACGATTGATCTGATGTCCGCGTACTACCAAGTGCGTATGCGGGAGGAAGACATCAAGTTCACAGCCTTCCAGGCGCCGAACGGACTGTGGAAGTACCTTGTACTCCCGATGGGAGTCTACAACGCGCCAGCAACAATGCACAGGCTCGCCGAAACTGTTCCGAGACTTGAAGAACACGAAGTCATTCTACGACGACATCTACATCTTCACCAAGTCGCCGAAGATCGAAGATCACCTGGAAGCGCTGCGCGAGACGTTGGATATCTTGCGCGACAACAAGCTGTGCGTCAAATTGTCCAAGTGTGTCTTCTGTGCCGACGAAATTCAATTCCATGCCTTGGTGACTTCGTCGGGCGTAACGGAGTTCGGATGGACCCAGACAAGGTGCAGACCATCAAGGACTGGCCTGTGCCGCGAACGCAAGAGGAGCTTCACAGCTTCCTCGGTCTAACCGGCTACGTGCAACGCTTTTGTCCGGATTACGCGTCGCTAACAGCAACCATGCTCACGCTCCTGAAGAAGAAGACCAAGCGCAACGCGAAGATCCAATTCAGCGACGAGCAGTTGAGGAACTTCAAGGAGTTGAAGCGGAGGTTGTGCAACCCACCAGTGTTGCATCTTCCAGACTTCAGCCAGCGGATGCATCTGCGGACGGACGCAACAAGTTCGCCGTTGGTGGAGCACTGTTCCAGATCGTCGATGGTGTCGAACGAACCATTGCGTACACCAGTCGAAAGATGAAGTCCGCGGAGCTCAACTACCCTACGCAGCAACAGGAGTTGTTAGCCATCGTCCACGCCCTGGCTGCGTTTCGAATCTACTGCTTGGACAAGCCGCCAATTGTCGAGACCGACCACAAGAGTCTTGAAGGCCTGCTCACACAGAAGATGGTCAACCGCCGACTTGCGCGCTGTTATGATATCCTCGCGGAGTATCAACCGACGTTCTCGTATCTCCCCGGAGCGAAGAATGGCATTGCTGACGCCTTGAGTCGAAGATCAGACTTGCAGCCGGAGACGAAGTTCTTTCACGACTGGAGTGTAACAAGCTTCAACGATACCTCCTTCAGTCTGGCGATCAGTGAAGTGACCAGCGACTTCGAGTTGATCGCACGCATCAAGAAGTCGTATGAGAAGGACCAAGATGTCCAAGCCATCTTCGTGGCGATCAAGAGGCGCAACTCCAACTCGACGCCGAAGCGTGAACACCACCAGCAGAAGAAGTACCGATGCTACTCCGAAGCGAATGGTTTGCTATGGTATCAAACGCTCGCCGACGATACTCCACGCGTTGTCGTGCCCAACGATGTGAAGTTGCGACAGTCAATCATCAGCGAGTGTCATGACAGCAACTACGGCGGTCATCCCGGTGCTTAGCAAACGTACTTGACGCTCGCGCGCCAGTGGTACTGGTCCAGGATGCTGAAGTCTATCCAGAGCTACATCGCCGACTGTGAGCCGTGTCGACGGAACAAGCACCGGTTGACGAAGCCACCTGGCTTGCTCGAACCACTGAGTGTTCCAGACGAACGATGGAGGTCGATTTCAATGGACTTCATCACCGAGCTTCCACGAACGAAGCGGAACGTTGACTCCATCTGGGCCGTCGTCGATCCATTGACGAAGCGTTGCCATTTCGTACCAACTACGAAGAAGTTGACGGCCGAAGGTGTTGCTCGACTCTTCATCGACAATATCTGGAAGCTGCACGGCATGCCAACGAACATCATCTCCGATCGCGACCGGAAGTTCGTATCCGCCTTCTGGCAGTATGTCTTCAAGTCCATCGGGACAAAGTTGAGCATGACCGTAGCTCACAGAGCCCAAGGCGACGGACAAACAGAGCGAATGACCCGCACGGTGGAGGAGTATCTTCGCTGCTTCGTTGGTCCACTCCAAGATGATTGGGATGTCCATCTCGCAAACGCCGAGTTTGCCGTGAATTCTGCCGTCAACACCAGCACGAAACTTGCACATTCGAAGCTGATCTGGGGTACATCCCGCTCAACCCTCTTCAACTCGCGGCTGAGCAACTCACGGTCATGAGTCGGCACGGTGCTGATTTTCATGAACGTCAAGCGACCATTCTGCTACAGCGTCGTGAAGCGTTAGCGCAAGCGCAGGAACGGATGCGTGGCATCTACGACCGCAATCGCATGGAACAAGTGTTTGACGTTGGCGATCGAGTGTACTTAAGCACCCAGAACCTCGATCGAAAGCACTCTTGTCTGCCGAACTCGTCCAAGTTTAGTTTAGTCCGAAGTGGATCGGTCAATACACAGTTGTGCGGAAGATACACAATCACGCGTACGAGCTTAACATCCAAGCTGGTAACAAGCTGTATCCCGTCTTCAACACTGGCTCGCTCAAGCCCTACAAGGACCGTCGCTTGTCACGGCCCCACGACGTTATCCTCGCGGATGGCAGTGTCGGCCAACTTGTGAAGCGGTTGCTCGGGAAACGTCGCCACAAACGACGGACCCAATTCCTTGTGGAGTGAGTGGGCGAGGAGAAGCCTACTTGGGAGCCTGTCGAGAATCTTGGACAAATTCCAGACCTGATTGCAGCGTTTGAAGAGCAACGGCGTACCAAGCGGAGAAGACGGAGTCGGAAGCAATAAAGAAGGCTCAGGACCGATGTATATTGCCTTGCATACTCTCCTAGTTGCGGCTGACTTTGCTCTTCTTGCTTGATTTCTTTTTCGGTTTCTTGGAACGCTTCGGGCGTGGTTGAGCAACCCGATAGAGGGCGTGCACCACAGTGAGCGCATCCAACTTGCTCAAAGGCTCCAGGCGACACGGTGGACTCTCACCTTCCTTGTAATCGTTGAAGGCCTGGACTGGAGCGCCTGGACCCTGAATGACGACCGTGAAGCAGTGCTCGATGGCATGTTGTGCCGCGTGGGCAATGTAGTAGCCCTAGGGAAGCTCGCGAACAACTTTCTCCATCTCTTCGACGGACCACATCGACCGTTTCTGGTACACCTTGAACAACTCCACGTAATCGAGAGAGACACCGTCGGCGCGGAGGAAGTTGAAGAATGCATCGATATCCTCAGAACACCATTGGGGAACTCGTATCCTTCCTGGACGCAGAACCGTTTCCAGTTGTCGCTGTTGACGAGGCCTGGGCGTCCGAGGCCAAAGCACGCCGCTTGAAACGCGTACAGGAAACAGAGGTTCGTGTCCGACGCACCAGCGCCACGGAAGTTCTTGCCGTAGAACGCGATGAACGAGAGATCGGTACCAGCAGCCTTCCACTTGTTCACTTGGTTCATGCACCAGTAGACGTGTTTCAAGTGCTCGGGCCACTCCCAGCTGAGCTGACATGGCTTGTACTCCCACTCCACGAGAAACGAAATGTGAGGTGGCTCTCCATGACGGTCAATCAAGCGTCGAACGAAGTACACAGCGTCGGTGTCGTGGAGATGAAGCCCTTGGATCCGTTGCAGAGCTGGAAGCACTCGGACCTGATGCAGAAGCTGAACCTCGATCGGGACGTGGCTTTGAAGCTGGCAGAACCTCGATCGGGACGTGGCTTTGGAGCTCTACCAGCAGCTCTGTGCTGATTCGCAGCTGTTGTGCTCGTTTGGAATCATGGATTACTCTCTCCTGATGGGAATCAACGAAGTGGAGTATGTGGTCGACGAAGGTAGCAGCACGGACGACGAGATGGATGCAAACACGCCTACGCAGTCAAGTGCACAAGGTACCAAGGCAGGACACAACCAGCAGCGACCTTCTGTATACAACCCGTTCACGGAGAAATCGATGATGGACGCACGCAGTGGTGGTGTTCAGAACTTGGCCAGGTCGCGCACCAGTACGAGGAGACACCGCCGGACTTGATGGTTCACGCGCAGGGTCCACCGATGCAGACGCCGACCGCGGCGACGCTACGCTCGCGTCAGCCAACACCAAGATGGCATTGGAGGGTTGAAGCGAAGCCGTCGGATCAAGTCCTTCCCACGTCAAGCTCAAGCGGCAGCTCGGACCCGGCCGGAAGGAAGTCGGAGAGCTCCGTGAACGTAAGGTCCCCGAGATCGGTCTCCAGGAGCGAAGTTGGAGCCGTCGTCATCACCGGGCTCAGATAGCCCGCAGCAGCGAGAAGATCAGGCACGAGGCCGAAGTCAGGCTCGGCCACCACTCGGGTGTGGAGCGGCAGCACTGCAATCTCTTGCAAGGCAACTTGCTGGACCATGACATCCACCGAGGGAAGTCTTTCAGCGGGACCGGCTCCTCCCGAGCGGGGCGTTGCTTCGCCAACGACAAGATCGCTAGCAGCATCAAAACCATCGCCCTTCGGAGCTAGCCCTAAGACAAATACACGCGGAGTCACTTGTGGCTTACCCAAGCAATTTCCCGAATGAAGGTGCGAGAACGAGCGGACGCGACTCTTGAAGGTGGGGTGAGTGTTACGGAAATAGCCGGACAGGTACGGTATTGGTATTTTACATTGTATAGTATTGGTATAGTGAAAGCTATAATAAAAGAGCAGATGTGGGGCGGTCTGTGGAAGCTTCCAGAACGAGCTTCCAACCACCCGAACTGCGGTGGCGGCACCCACTACTCGTTTTGCCGTCCTCCCTCCAAAGACCTGCTTCCGTTCTGTTAAAGTAAGCTCACACACTGGTCTCTCTTATACATGTATAGTGAGACAATTGTATTTGATTCGATATGCAAACTATGTATTGGACGTCTACGCCACTGTGTAAAGCAGCACGGTCTAGTCGTAGCTACGAGCGCCTTCGAGCAGAATGGCGGCCAACCCCACGTGGATTGGCATGCTTCGTGCGATGCATCGCTTTACAGGGTGAATATGCCGCCTGGGGTTGCTGCTCATCCCCTCCGTAGCGAATATGACAACCTACGAGAAGTGCTTGGCGAGGGCTTCAACTGTGACCACGCAGTCAAGTGTACGACTTGCGCTTCTTCTTCACGTAACCGGTGCACTGAGTGCCGCACGTAGGTCCCTGGAACGTGCTGACCTTGATGTAGAGCTTGGGGGTGCGGTGAGCCTTGATATTGACCACAATATCGCTCTCTTTACCCCCGCCCCCGATGAACTCATCTCAGTGTTAGTGCCGCGAACTGCATCTGCCCCACCACTGAATCACTGTCCCTATCCTCGGGCTTGGTGTCCTCGTTTTTCATTCTTCTTGTCCGCGTCTAACGTCGCCGTAGATGCCCCGCATCACCGAGCCGCTGGCAACTTGATGATAGTTGCCGGCGTCATGGCTTTCGTATTCTGCTAAAGTTAGGCGTTTGTCGCCTAAACATGGCGAATGTGATCCAATCACAAGTTCAAAGAAAAAGTACGCTCTGATCACATCCAAGACCTGTTCTGCATAAGACCCATTTAAAAATCTTCCTACAGAGGCAGCAAACGATTAGAGATTAGAAACACATTTTACTTGGAGGTAAGCCCACTCATTGTTGTGTTCATGATTTTCTCGCTTGACTTACATAGAAACCTTCACAAAACGGAAAAAATGGCAACACGTACCAGTACAAGAACACACAGAAAAAGAGCAATGCGCGTCGAGTTAGCAACAGGATTCTCGCTCGGCATCGTCACGGAAACCACGATTGCTGTCTCTGCCCCCACACAATCTACGGAAACGCGCACATTTTAGTTAGTTGGGCACGCTGATCCACACCAGCCCAAGCTGCATAAGGTACGAGAGATCCGTAAAAATCCAAAAAGAACAAATGTTGGCAGGTACTTTCTGTGGGAATTATCAGAGCTTATCTGAGAACTGTATATGTAATCCTACACCATCAATCTAGGGGCCGCTTCGTTTTCCACTTCTCAGTCTTGCTTTTGCGGTAGCCGTGGTAGCCACCCCCACCCTTATCAGGGATTATACTTCGCTGCCATGGCTCCGCTTGAGCAAAACTCATCTACACAAATGACTACCTGCATGAAACACTACACACCGGCGCCTCTTGACGGACTAGAGCAGCATAACGACGCAGATGCAGAAACGGATCAGCTCGAATAACGATGCTTGCGCGTCCTCCTTGTGCGCAGTCGTGTCTGATGACGCGGCGCCACGGTGCAGGCCACGTACTTTGACTGGTCGACGCGCCATATCCGTGTCGGACGTCCTGAGCAACGAGCAAGTGAACGTGGCGACTGCCGTCAGCAGCGTCGTGACCACGTATCTGTTCCCAAAAGGAAGACAGCGTTTAAGGAGCACAAACTGCGACCTTACTTTCTTTACGAACTGCATGTCCTCCTACATGCACACCTTTTAAAAGGGTTGACCAGTCCACCAAAGTTAGACGAATTAGTACGCCGCGGCACCGCTGCATGTACATCCTCGAATTGCTAGACGTATTTACGATCACAATGTTACAGCCGCATCCTGCGGTCTGCTGCCTGCTCGTCGTGAGCATCTGCAGAACACCACTCACGTTCGAAAGGCATTACCGAAGGGCCCGACTATTGGGTTGGGTATCATTTAACCTTCCTAACTTTATATTGATGTTACCTTCTGAACTACGTAACCTGCCACTTTGGATTCAAAACAGTGCAAATATAAGGTGTGTGTACTTGAAATTTATAACAACACTGCTACATACGGTTGGGTGGTCCACATATTTTGAATTAATCCCTAGCTGTTATTATAGCTGCTCCCTCCAATTGGGTCCGTACAACGTGTACCACATTGCACTACCAGGATAAGTACAACATAAGATAGTGTTGCATATCGGCGCTTGCATGTAGCGCGAGTGTTACTAATAATAGCTCGATCAAGCATTTCTACACGCTATCAACAGCGCGATCGAGTACTGCCGCCGTTAAGACGGATACCTACATGCACTTACCCCGTTCCACAAGCTACCGTATTTTGTCGGGCTGGTCGCGTAGTTCGATTGTTGAGAAAGTTAGGATCCTTTCGGTAGCACCGCCACCCGTTCTTGTGTATTAATATCAGACTTGGTAGAGTATTCATACCTTGGTTCTAATATACTATGTTTTAGGAAGCTGCATATTTTGTATGTATCGGCTGTCAGTTCGAAAAAATGGCCAAAGCAGGCGTCTACCGCCCGAACCACGGGCCGAGGCCGCCTCTCCGCTTGATTTGCGGTCGTTGGCTACCTAGGGCTTCCTGACCTCATGGTGCGAGGAGCTGCGAGGTCGCGTTGCGGTGGAATCCTCCGGCTCAATGAGACTGTTGTCTCCTCCTGACAGCCAGGAGCCTGATCAAGAACCGTCAGACGAAGGAGAAGAAGCTAAACAAGACGACGGGCGGCGCAAACACATGGGGAAGATATGGCGCGCGTGTGAGGCGTGGGAGCTGCTGGCGCTCGTCGGTCACTTGGACACCAAAGTGTTCCAAATGCTGCTGAGGCACAAGTGCGCCCTACGAGTCGGAAGGGGGCTCTTCAGAAACGAAACACTGGAGGACATCGAGAGAGACGAAGAAGACGACGAAGAAGAGAAGGAGGGTGACAGCATGGGGGAATTTACTGAGGAGACATTCAAGTTCAAGTGCAAACGTGATCGGGACGGGTTCATTCTACCACATCTGGATTTTGCCTTCCTTGTTGGAGATCTGGAGAGCTCGGGGCCTTCATTTGTCGAAAAGTGGGAATGGGTGTTTCTCGGGAGATCGATTGGGTATGAGCCTAGTGCGGCCTACTTGCAGACCAAAGCTCGCATCCTTAAAATGCCGTTCCCGATCAGGCCTCCGATCCCGAGATCGATCGAGATTCCAGTCTCGATCCAGATGCAACTCCGTAGCAAAGACTATCAGACAGCTATGTTCCTAACAGAGCTCCGCGAACTCGTTGACGGCATGATACTGCGCTCGCACCAGCTTGAAGCTGACAATACGGAGGTGGAATCGCGTCTCGACTGTGCCAGCACGTTCTCCTACCGGATTATAGAGCTGAGACTGTACCTGACAGATTTCAGGCTCACCAGCGAGTGTGGAGAAAGTTTGCTAGCTGTTCCAGGAGCTGGAGTCCCATTCGCCGTCTTAGAAATGGGTCTGGGGACAGGCGACAGCGACGAAATGACACACCGTGAAGCTTTCGCCAAGTTCTTGAACGGGGCGTTGATAAGACCGCAGGAGCAAGTTTCCTCGATTTCGACGCTGGAGATTTCGATTAATGGTCATGGCAGGCGGAGGCGTTTTACTCAGTTCTTGCCGTCTCACAAACTCCGATAAACACGCTGCGGCTGTCAGGTATACCATCGGCTAGCAAGCGTCAAGAACAGTGGAAGTTAATGGCAAAAGCTCTCTTTCGCATGCGCTCGTCCAACTGCGGCTTCTACTCATCCATTCGCGGTGTTGACTTGAGCCATCTTGGCTTAAAATTTGATGCTGTCTTGGATATCGTCGACGCTGTTCAAGAAAATGACGATGAATTACAGCTGTCTCGAACAAGCTGGATATTCTGGCAGGGCCATCCATGAGACTCTGCACATCTTTGACGCAGTACAACAAGCTATATCTGATGATCCTGAGCAGGACGGGGCACTCGTGTTGTTCCTCGACTTCATGAAGGCGTACGACTCACTGTCACGGACTTTTTTACTTAAGGCACTGCGGCAGCATGGGTACCTGAGCAGTTAATTGAGACGGTGAGAATTCTCCACGACGGGACCACGGCAAGCTTCCTGGCCAACGGATTTCAGTCTCGGCAGGTCAAGGTGTCCGGAGGAATCAGGCAAGGCTGCCCTCTCGCACCACTTCTTTTCATCTTGGCGCTGGAAGCACTGTATCAAGAACTCGATCGTCACCCAGAGCTCAAAGGAGTTCTCCTGCGATCAACTGGCGGAGAAGTGGAAGTCAGGGTAGCAGGATATGCTGACGACACCGCAGTCTATTTGGTCTCGGCGGATAAAGTCGAGACTGCAAGTCACCACTGCTTTTGGTGCTGCCTCTGGATTAAGCCTCAATCACGATAAAACCATGGTGTTCGCGTTAATCAAGTCTGGGCTGCCTTCGGATACTCAACTGCCTCCGATACTGAAGTTCGAAGACACACCGCATCAAAACCGCTATCTGGGCATTTATTTACGTTGGCAGCGCCCGTGACCCCGAAAAAACGTGGACGATCGCGGAACGACAGCTTGCAACGCGTCTTGTAATGGCTTGTCAGAAAACCACGACAGTAGATCAGAGAAGCTTGATAGCGTCTGCTGTTATTGTGCCTAAGCTTCTCTACATAGGACAGCATGCATGGCCGTCCACTACTACCATCAATCGACTATCCAAGAAATTGCGGAACTACGTCTGGCATGGGTGTTAAGGCCGAACTTCAGGGGGGCAGGGCCTGGCTGGACGCTGATCTCGCGGACTTGCCACGCACGCACGGGGGGCTAGCGGTTCAAGATCTCAGGGTCGAGTTGATGGCCATGGCGGCAGCCAGTCTCAAACTGGGCGGTAGTGGGGACACATACAGCTCATATTGTTGGTGACATACGGCTTGCCAGAGTGTCGGCACCTGGCACCCTGGCCCCTGCTACCTACTTGACTCCGGCAGTGGGTTTGGCGCCAGCTTCAGGATTTCGGCGTCGCCACTCAATGTGGGCTACCGGCCGGATGCTCATTACTGCGGTCGGAAGGGACCAGGATGTAGCAACTAGGGCGGACATGGTATCCTCCCTCTACCAGCTCGTGTGTCATTTCGATTTGGTTAACCTCACCTGGGACGGACCGCGACTAGTTTTAGGCGCGGCCGCTGCTCTGAGAGCTGCTTCCTGCAGGCGGTTTCTTCAGGACGAATTCGCCCAGCTCGAACGGCAGTGCTTAGAGTGGCTTCCGTATGCGACCTTGGAGGACCTCCGCCTTCACGACGGCAGTACAGGGGAAATGGCTCACCAGAAGGATTTTCGCAGGCTAACCAAGCGTGGTCGGCCTTTCAAAGAATATGTTCACTGGTGCTGCCACGGTGGGGGCCGGATTACTTTCACGCTGCTTCTCAGGCGAAAACGGCGGGCTTCTGCAGCGAAATCTCAACTGGAGAAGCTGGCAATGGCACTCATCACGAATTTTCCAAGACTACTCTACCTTGGGCCTCGAAGTGCTGAGCTCCAGATCATTGCAACGCCTTCGGACCATCCTGCCATTGCCACAGTCGTGCCCTCAGTGCCCCCGCGTGTGCGTTTGAATGCGGACTCGTCATCACGAAGCAGGATAGTCACCAGTCACTCGCGGTTGATCAAGCAAGTGGCCGACCTGTTAAGACCCGCCGTCAGTGTCGTAGATGTCCAGCCTCACCCACGAGTCTCGCGTATAGTTTGTCTCTGGGTGGGTAATCGGAGGTGGACACAACCTCGCAAACACTTATCGTGACCTCTTTGCGGCCGCTTCCCAACGGCGAGGATATGCAAGTGCTACCCGTCGGAGGGCACGCTGGGAGCAAGCCAGTGCACCAGCGGCGCAGGGGCTATCGCAACTTGAATGGGCGAGGCTTCGACGCATTGTTGGCCTAGGGCCGTGGGGGGAACAAGTACTGTACCGGCTCAAAAATTATGCCTTCCCTCTTTACGACCGTAGCAGACAACAACTCGGATGCCCCCATGCAACGTGCGTCCGGCTGGCGAGGGTAGATTTGCACCACATCTTCTGAGTGTGTCCGGCCGCAGTATCACTACGCAAAGTCCTCACGCAACGCTGGCTAGCAATGGGTATGCCTCAGGCGCGTCTCGAGGAGTCATGTTTTAGCTTACTCCTTCCTCAGGTGCCTGCGGGTGTGTGGACAATGGTAGAGCACCTCTTCCCCAGTCTGGAACGAAGTACGGTTGACCGGTTAACGGTGGCGGTGACCAAGGTAATGGAGAGCTGTTGGCGAGTCGGCGTGGCGCTTTACTTCCACGCTGTATGGAGGTGGCGTGTGGCGTTCTTTGACCCGCTCAACACAGTCACAGAAGACTACCACCGGGCCTTGATAGTATCCAGACTGCGCCACGGGTATGACACTGTACATCTACATCTCGGTCGAAGTCTTCAGCGGGATGTTCTCGAGATGGCGGCCCGGACGATGCGTCGTATGCTCATATCCGCGTGGGAGCCGACGCTCGACGCGGCCCCTACTGGACGGACCCGCTTCCTTTTGTTTTCCGATGGCGGCTCGCGTGGTAATCTCGGCCCTGTCGGTAGTAGTGCTGCAGTGGTCCGCATCGGAAACGGACGGGGTGGTCATGAGATCTGTTGGGTCATTAGCATGTCCTACGCGGCGGCCAGCACGACCAACAACGTGGCGGAGAACATGGGGCTACTGACGGGGCTCAAGGCGTGCCTTCATTTTGGCTGGACCCCACTTCATGTGGTAGGAGACTGTAATGATCTGCACGTGCAAGAGCAGAACACAACCACACCATCAGTTGAGTCCCCACGCAGAGAGCCCAAGGCATCGTCTGCATACTCACCGGTTGCGCAAGCTCCTGCTCCGGCACGCCTCAGCCAACCACTTCATGTTTAGGACCGAGCGCCATGAGGGCGCCCTCGGGTAGATGGATAGCAGCAAACAGACAAAGACATCAATTCAGTTTCCATTTTACTCACAACACAACAAGCACAACCAGAACCTTACACTTGGTAACACTTGCGCCGTCAGCGCGCGCTTCCGTCCAGTTCCAGTTCCAGTCTCCGTTCGAGTTCCAGTTCCAGATCCAGTCCAGTCCTGCCACGCGTCGCTAGTGTGCACGCCGTCCAGCCTAGTCCATCCCGCGTTGCCGTTGCGCACGCCGTCTTCCTCGCCTACGTTCTTCGGTGCGCCGCACCTGTACCTCTCGCCGTTCAGCTTCTCCGGGTGTGCCGCGTGCGTTGCCTCGTCCGCAGCTTCGTTCCGCTCGTCGCCGACGGGACCTCCATTTTCGCCGGGCTCGCTCCTTTTCTTTCTGGGGGAGGAGTGGCGACGCGCATTGTCACACGTCACATCTTATTGGTGCATTTAGCCGAATCACTCCCGCGTGTCCACACGCGGCACCCACCTCGACCTTCCGCTTGTCGCCTCGGCTGTCACTTGCAAACAGTGCGCAGCCGAGTGTAACATCCGAGTCGGTGGCCGTTACGAGTCTAGTAGTAGGAGTCTTCGTGCTCCGAGGCGGGCTCGAGCTAGCGCCGGACGGAATTGCACCAGTTGCTTCCTTCGGGACGCTGGAGCAAGTGGTTGGTACTTGTCGGAAACAGAGCTCCAGGACGAGCTTCTGTGACTTCGTTGGGGCTTACAGACATTGTCGGAAGCAGCGCTCCTGGGAGTGCTTGCGACTTCAAACTTTGATTGATTTGGCTGAGGAGCTTGCGCGCCCCAGCCATCTATCGATGACGTGTCAAGCGTAGGCGCAAACATGGATGAATCAGCGATGCAGCACGCGGACAGCGTGCAGCAGATGTTCGCTTCGCTCGCGGCGATGATGCGCGAGCAGCAGCAGTTCATGGCACAGACAGCCGAGCTGCAGCGCCAGATGGCGGCGACACTGCAACAGCAACAGCAGCAGCAACCGTCGGTGGCCGACTCTTCGTCGCCAGACACGCGCGAGTACCGGATCGAGGGCATCACCATGCCGAAGTTCTCCGGCACCAAGGACGACGACGTCGCGGACTACCTCTTCAGCGCCAAGCTCTACTTTGAGTCGAAGAACATCAAGTACGGCGCCGACTCGCCGCAGCAGCGCCCCTTGTCGCTCTTGGTGGCAAACTTGAAGGGACCAGCAGCGGCTTGGTACCGCGAGTACGTCTCCCACGACGGGAACTTCCTACGCAGTTCGAGGAGCTGCTGACCAGCGAGTTCACGACACCCGATCGGCAAGAGCACCTGCGTGATCAGCTCCTACGCCTGCGCCAGAACAACTTCACCTGTCTTGAAGATTACGTGTCGGCCTTCCGGCACATCATCTGCAAGGTAGAGGAGATGAGCGACATCGACAAGGTCATGCATTTCCAGAAGGGGTTAGTCGTAGAGATCAAACAAGAGGTGAAGCTGCGCCAGTTCAGGAACACGACAGACGCAATTTCGTTTGCACTCATGTACGACTGCACGCACGCTGTAGGATCGCGTCGAACTAACGTGAACCGCGGAGGCCAAGGTCCACAACGCCTTCAGCAGTCGTCACATCACGTCGAGGAGCCGACCCCAATGGAGATCGGGAGTTCGCGCTTCGTCTCTCGCGAAGAGTGTCTGCCAAGTAATCTTTGCTTTTACTGCAAGGAGCCCGGACACCGCCTGGCTACGTGTCCTAAGCGGCCAGCGCGTAACAACCCCCGATGCTCATCTCGTCCTCCACAAGGGCGCGGTTCTTTCCGCGCAAACCATGGCTCGTTTCGCCGCATTGTTGAAGACGACGACGCATCCGACGACGATGACGACGCCTACGCAGACAACCGCGACGACCACGTCGAGGTCATCGACAGTTTGCAGCTGAACATGGTGTCTCTCGACGCGAAGTTGTCGCCCAATCGTGAACTGTTGAGGTTCGAGGGAGCGATGAGCGGCCAGGCAGTGCGACTCTTGATCGACAGTGGTGCTGAGCGCAACATTGTGCGTCCGGGCCTCGCGCAGCACTACGTTGAGGCCACCAAGGTCACGGCCAAGCGCTTTGATGGCACGACAACCCCGGCGCGTACCGCACAGCAATGTTTGGAGACTGTCTGCTTTGATGGCGGAGTCTTCAACGATGTTTCTCTCATTGAATGGGAGGTATCTTCAAACCAAGACGTGATTCTCGGTCATCCGTGGTTAGTGCAGTCCAACCCGATCATCAATTGGCAAACCGGAGTGATGCGCTTCCCCAACCAGCGTGTAGTACATGACGTCGGTTCCGTGAACAGCAGTCTTGAGGTGGCGGGACCGACGGTGGCTTCAGTGGAAGTGAAACCGGAATTTCTTCAGCACCCGCTTCCCCCGAACCTCCGGCAGCAGCTCGATGACCATGTGCAGGCAGGCTACTTCAGTATGCCGTTGGGACCGAGCTCACTAGCAACGCTGGGACACCAGACATTAGCACGCATCTTTGACGACGGTGACGATGGTACAGGCGCGTCGCCGCTGTGTGTTTTGCGGCTGCGGAGTTCGAGAAGAAGGTGAAGGCTGACGAGTACGTCGAACTGTATCATGTCACGGTGAAGACGTCGCCCAAGGTGAAGTCCGTGCCATTGCAGCTTCAAGCGGTTCTTGAAGAATTCGCAGATGTCTTTCCAGCAGAGCTGCCACCTGGATTACCACCAAGCCGCTCCATCGAGCACGAAGTGGTCTTGAAACCAGGGGCGACGCCAAGCAACCGAGCTCCCTTCCGCCTCTCGAAAGTTGAGCAGGAAGCATTGGACATCTTTGTGGCAGAGCTGCTGAAGAAGAACTGGGTCGAAGTGTCGGACTCTCCCTGGGTATCGAACATCTTCGGCGTGCCGAAAAAGGATCCCGCGACGGGCAAGTTCCCATCCCGCTTGGGGTGGTTGCACTCGAACAACCCGCACATGCCGATTCGATGGGTCATCGACTACCGCTTGGTGAATGCCGCCTCGGATGTGGCTAAGATCCCGCTACCGCACATCGAACAACTCTTCGATCGCATGGTGGGCGCAGTGGTCTTCTCTATTCTCGACCTCGCGAGTGGATACCACCAAATGCGCATGTCTCCGACGTCAAAACAGTACACGGCATTCAGGACGAACCATGAGATCTATCATTGGAACGTGGCGCCCATGGGTCTGGCCGGCATGCCAGGCACGTGGACACGCCTGATGTGCAAGCTGCTGAGTCATCTACTGTTCGTGGTCGTTTATCTTGACGACATCTGCATATTCTCGCGATCGATGGCTGACCACGTTGAACACTTACGACAAGTCTGCGAAGTCCTGCGCGCTAACAAGCTTTACGCCCGTCCTGACAAGTGCGACTTCGGACAAGCCTCGGTGGACTTCCTTGGCCACACCATCTCTGCTGATGGGTTGCACGTGGACGCTCGCAAGACTCGAGCCATCGCAGAGTGGACCGAGCCATGCAACATCAAGGACCTCCAACGCTTCTTGGGCTCGCCGGGTACTATCGTCGCTTCATCCACCAGTTTGCGACGTTGGTACTGCCCCTGAGCTCTCTGGTCAAGAAGGATGTCGCTTGGGTATGGAACGAACACTAGCGCCAAGCTTTCAATGCCATTAAGCTCGCGCTCCAGCACGCTCCGGTGCTTCGTCTGCCGGACTTTGAAAAAACATTCATCGTGACAACGGATGCCAGTCATGCGTGCATTGGTGGAGTGCTCTCTCAGATGCATGATGACAACGATCTCCCCGTGGCTTTCTTCAGCAAGAAGCTGGGACCTCACGAGCTGAACTGGCCTGTTCACGAGAAGGAGCTCTTTGCGATCAAGCAGGCGCTTACACGTTGGCGTCATTACCTCCATGGAGTCTCGTTTGAAGTGTACACGGACAATTCGGCGTGCAAGTGGTTTTTGCAGCATCCACGCCTGTCGGGTCGCCTGGCCCACTGGCTCGACTTCTTTGCGTCCTTCCAGTTCACTCTGCATCACGTCCAGGAGCTTTGCATGTCGTTGCGGACGCGTTGTCGCGCCCCCCTGATGCTCCATCGAGTCCGGGGGAGGGGAGGAGGATTGTGAGTCCGATCCCGAGCCGGTTGTAGTATGTACGGCGTGTTTGACGTCTACCACATGCACGAACATTCGAGACGTGGTCTCACGACGTACCATGGCTACGGCGAAGCCCCAAAGCATACCGTCCTGGGATCAAGCTGTGATGCTGGCCGTCAAACAGCCAGCCACAAAGGCACTCGGAGTTGGCACAGCACAGTGGCGCATGAGGTTGAAAGCAGCGTCAATGGAGGACAGCACGGTGATCAGCTCACTTCAGCTGGATAACCAAACGAAGCGGGCGTTTCAGAAAGCATACGGCAGAGATCCAGTCTTCAAGCCACTGTGGAAGTCCAGACGCTCGTCGGAAGAGTACGAAGTCATTCGCCGGTTGATCTATTTGAAGAGCAACGACAGCCTACGCCGCCTCTGTGTGCCAAACAACCGGAAACTTCGGCTCGATGTCATTCACAACGCGCATGATGCGGCGATCATGGCGCACCCAGGCATCCGTCGCACTCAGCTTGCTGCGGCACAGTGGTACTTCTGGCCGAGCATGGATCTGGACATCAAAGCCTACGTTCAGAGTTGTGAGTCATGCATGAGGTACAAGACAAGCACCGGACGAAGAGCAGGAAAGCTTCAGCCGATCCCGTTGCCCGCTGCGTGTTGGGATGTTGTCTCGACTGACTTCATCACGCATTTGTCTGTGTTCGACGGCTTTGATGCGATCACGGTCGTGGTGGACAAGTTGTCAAAGCGTCCAGTCTACATCCCGACGACTGCGGAAGACATTGCCAAGCTGTTCTTCAACAACGTCATCCGGTACTATAGTATCCCATCGACCATCATCTCCGACCGGGACCCGAAGTTCACGTCGAAGTTCTGGAAAGCACTGGTACAGCTGATGAAGATCAAGACAGCGATGACGACTGCCCACCGAGCGCAGGCCGATGGCCAAACTGAGCGTCAGAATCGGACTCTCGAGGGCTCGTTGCGATGCTCTGTTTCGTACCATGGCAACGACTGGAATGATCACCTGCCCATGATTGAGTATGCGCACGCAACACTGGTGTCCAGCTCGTCGAAGCTGTCGCCCTTCTTCGTCGACACCGGTCGTCACCCTAAGAACCCATTGGGTAGTGTGGAGAGCGATCAGCCGGTGGCGAGGTCTCGTATGGAGTACGCGTCTCGATTTGTTCAGCATCGTCAAGAGGTGATCGAACGTGCTCGGAAGAATCTGTTGGATGCGCAAGAGGCTCAAAAGAAGTTCTACGACCGGCGTCGTGCAGCAAACCCATTCAAGGTCGGTGATCTAGCCTTGCTGTCGACGCAGGACCTGAACATCTCGCACGCCACTGCGGAAACGACGCTTCGCTCACGGAAGTTCATCCTGCGCTTCATCGGTTCGTACCCGATCCTGGAACTTCATGGCAACGTCGCGCTGCTGGATCTACCGGCCAACTTGAAGCACATCAGCCCACGCTTCAACATCGACAAGCTCAAGGTATACAACAGCAACCCTGATCGCTTCGTCGGCCGTGTGATCCCGAAGTCGACTCCCATGATTTTCGACGACGATGGCGAGCCACTACACGTTGTCGAAGCTCTGATCAAGAAGCGCATCTTCAACCGCCAACCTGAGTACTTGGTCAAGTGGCACGGGCTCCCTCACCATGAGAACACGTGGGAACGCGAGCGCGACATCAAACACGTCAGCCACTGGCAAGCGCTGCTAAAAGATCTTCGCCAACGCAATCGAGTGGCACGGGCCTAGTGGAATTCTCTTGAACACATTTTTCACGGTAGTGTTCCTTACATCGGGGTCTACGGTACTACCAACTTCAACTTCGGCGACTTCAACGTTCAAGGTGCTCAAGTCGGGGGGAGTGTAATGATCTGCACGTGCAAGAGCAGAACACAACCACATCATCAGTTGAGTCCGCACGCAGAGAGCCCAAGTCGTCGTCTGCATACTCACCGGCTGCGCAAGCTCCTGCTCCGGCACGCCTCAGCCAACCACTTCATGTTTAGGACCGAGCGCCATGAGGGCGCCCTCGGGTAGATGGATAACAGCAAACAGACAAAGACATCAATTCAGTTTCCATTTCACTCGCAACACAACAAGCACAACCAGAACCTTACAGAGACAGCAACCTCATCATTCATCAGCAGAAGACGCGGACTCCGCCTCGAGCTAAGCACCTACAACCGCTGTATTGGCAAAGCCGGCGACTGGCAGACAAACTGGCGGTAACGACGTGGCAGCACCACTTGCGTGCTCACAACAGAATGGCGGACGCCCTCGCCAACATGCGATGGACTCACGCCGCAGTTTCAAAAGGTACCCACTCGAATATGCGGCTCCGGCTCGACGTGGGACGACGTGTACAACTACGCTTCCGGTGACGTAGGTCACTGGATGGAGCAGAACAGTGATGAGAACTCCTCGGAGTTCGTGGCCTTCACCCGTTAATGTGTGGAGGTGGCTCTGGCGTTCGTTAGGGCCGTTTCATAGGGCGGTCGGTTAGAGACGACCACCGACAAGGCCATAGCTGTCGTTAGCCAAAGAAGTTAAGTGGCATCAATGTACCTCACTGCGAAACGAAACGAACAAGCAGGATATTACGTGAAGGCACCCTCCTGCAGTTAATGGGCGGCGAAAATGTCGAGATTGGTTCTGCTCCCTTGCCTTTCGACACGAATGTGGAGCTGGTGGATTACCGCGATGCTTATTTTGAGTGTAGTGGTAAGGTGGACGAGGGGATGGAAGTGATTGTACCCTCTTATGGACGGTGCCGTGTGCCTCGCAAGTGTTTTGCAGATGCAGTAGTTGAGGGTGCGCCTCTTACGTCGCTTGGGCTTCACTTCTCAACCGAGTACCGCGTCGACGTCGAACAAAGCGTGGGCATACTACTGCATCATATCGGCTGGTCGCTCCAGCACCTTGGGCTGGAATACTATCCTCAAGTGAATGAAGACGTGCTACTGTCGAGCATTCTGAAAGCCTGCCCGCGATTGACTAGCCTCTCAATTTGTACGCGCTCTATCCGGTTGAATCGAATCGTCTCTCAACATGAGCGCATCGGTGAAGATGCTGGAATAGACGGACCCATGATATCGAAGTTGAGGCTGGCACAAGTATATGATATCGGTCCAGACCACGGGAAAATCTTCATGAACCGGCTTGCAAGACCCCACGAGCTATCTGGCTCAGCATTTGAAGGAGCTCATGATACGTACTAGCGAAGGCTCGGGCGCATTGCATGACACCGCCTTGGGCACTCTGTATAAAGCTCTGACGATCAACACGAAGCTCGAGAAAATCATTCTCGAGGCACCGCCAGAGTGGATGGATAACTGGATGAACCGACTTCGTCAATTCAACGGCCAGTTGCTACCACCGGTTCCGCTGCCGAGAGTACTCAAGCTTGCGTTTCTCAGCACCTTCATTCCCAAGACTGAGGGTGGGAACAAAACTTTGGTGGTAGCTCAGCGCCAGGCCTCGGAAAAAATAATTATTCCATTGCAATTACTGTATTTGTGTACGGAAATATGTATTATTGGTTGCCGGTCGTATTGAAATTACTATTATTGAAGCCCAATTTTCAGTAAAATGTTTAACATTACAAAATCCAAGTTTAACGTGAATCTCCATATAAAAGTAATTGAAATAAATACATATTATTGGTGAATGATATATTGAAATGATTATCATGGAGACCGAACTTTTGCAATTCAATATGATACTGTATTTTCCGAGGTCTGCTCAGCGCGTGGATCGACCGATACTGTCCCTTATTTTTGAGTTCGCTGCCACTCGCGTGGTTCGGTCCCTGGCAACGTATGATCGCTTCTAGGGCTCCGTCGGTGCTGCTCTGGTTTACATGAGTAAAACCTGAGATGTAGTAATGGGTCTGATCAAGCCCTGAAAAAAATGAAAAATAGAGCTGATGAGCATGTAAATTCGCACAAATATTTATCTTAACTTTTGTCTGCAAGGCTTGATGACAGGCGCACAGACCCACATGCATTAATGCAAGCTGGGTTCCTCTTCAGCACGTTGATTCACGGGCAATCCGTTTGCCAGACATTGGCAGCCGGAACAATGGTTCGTCTCTCTCGGTCAATTTGATGCCTGTACGTTGGTTCTCGACAGTGACCTGCGATGCCGCGCGAGGTACAACTCGTCCGAGTCGACTACCGAAGCGGACGTTGTTGTCCCTGGGTATGGCATTTGCAGAGTAAATCTCAGCGAAAGCAAGCTGGGTGAACTTGCAGGATCCGAGATGCTCGAGTTGCCGAATTGCTGCACAAATGCTTTGCGCGAGCTGCATCTTCGTGTGGGCGAAGTCGAGAGCGTTGCGGATGTGATACACCTTCCAGCGCTAATTGGTGGCGCGCTGGAACAACTATGCTATGGTAAGATACAAGACGATTCCGCAACCGTGGACTTAAGCGCACTGGCCAAGGCGTGCCCGAAGCTGGAACGCCTGGTACTTGAAGTTAGCGCGGTTGTGTCAGAGTACGACGAGCCTCTGCAGAATTGGCCATTGCGGAAGTTTGTTACTTTCGCCACTGTAAATGGTTTGGCCCCCCTCCTGAGTGATCCCGCATGTAAAATGGCGCACGGGCTTATCTCTCTTCAAGTGCGCACACGAGACCGTTGGAACCAGTCAGAGGAGGAGGCGGATGCACTCGTATCGTACAATGGTGACTTCCTTCCGATTGTCAAGGAAAAGCTATGCAGCCGAGCGAAAGCTGCACTAATTAGTGTCGTAATGAATATCGATGCTACTCAAAGGTGCATGGTGGCTGTGCGTCAACTGGATGCGAACATTTCGAGCTTGATCTTCGCGTTCGCAGCAACTCCTGAACGCAGGACGGTTCGAGCTGGTGCGGAAAGAGGGCCAGGTGAGCAGTACGGGGAGGTTGTATATGTTTTCTTTTCTAGTAGTTTTCGTGTGGGTGCTTTCTTGAAGGACGAGCAGAGCAGAGGACAGACGAAAAGAGCAATACCCAAGCACAATCTATCATGGTTTTACTGCTGTCGCAATCTATCCACTAAGTAATAAAACATAATCAATGTCTTGACGAAACACTCCGCAGAGTCTGCAGTGCAGACATGCCTCCTGGGAAACTTCGGATCCGCGAAGATAACGGGCTGCTAGCAGATCAGTCAGTCTTCGGGTCGTTCGGCAAAACAAAACCTTCGCGGTATGAGCATGAGTCTAATATCTGGGAAGAACGACGTCTTCCTTATACGGTACGATCCTCTGATACTGTATGATCACAGCTCCTTCCAGCAGCTCGATCGATTCCATGTCCGTTCTGGCCAGAGCTGTGGTTACCTCCGGGGCCCCCGACAGCGCAAAATCAGGGTTTAAGATGCACGACCGGTTTTCTTATCTTGTGCTTGGTCGTGGTAAGAATTCCACGAGCGGGTAAGCGCTCTGCTATCAGCAACAGCGCCCAGACGAACTACAGGTGGCACATGTAAATCAAAGAGAAGTCCAGGTCCCCAGGCAAATGCCGAGGCTGTAGTTGTGGGCTCCGAGCCACTCCCTCGACTTTGCTGCCCGCACATAGGGGCCGATTCATGGCGCACTCTCCACTCCACAACCGTATTTGCTTTAGACCATTCGTTAGTCGCGCTTCCCACAGCTCTCAATTTCTCCATCTCAACCTCGAATTCAAACGACCGCTCTGAGCTCGTTCCACACCCAAAAAGAGTACCCACGTCACGGACGAAGCTGGGTCGTGTGACTCCAGAGTTCCGACTAAAAGGCATTCCCAAATCGGACAAACTTCCAGCGTGTCACTCACGTGGTCCCCGTTTCCTGTGACCGCGGAAAGCATTTCCTTGAACGCCGAGTTGTCCCCCACTGCCAGCATATTCAGCAACTCCATGGCCTCTCGCGTTTGTGCTTGTCGTTCATACGCTCTACCGTTTGGGGCCGCCGCGAAATTCACAGATAGCTTCACCTTCCTCGCACTCCGGGCGTAGTCCCATTGGGATGGGGTGCATTTGAAAGCCGCCGATAGTCTTGTGCTTGGAGGCGACGGTGGTTCGGGCGCCAGACTGGTTCGCAGTGCTTCCACCCGGGTCGAGAAGCTTCCACTTGGACTCCATCGTACTCGGCGAAATGCCAACTGGCGATTCATCACTCGTCCCTCACAATACCTGCTTATGCTTCAACATGAGAAAGGTGCAACGCATTTCTGCTGAAATATTCTACAACATCAACTGCCATATCGATAGAGGACTGCAAGTGCTGAGGGTAACTAACTACTTCCAATTCAAAACCAATTCTACCAAAACAAAACTACAAACTATACTACTAAAAAAAACTTGCAAGCAAAAGACCAACACCGTGGTCTTCTAGCCTCCGCAGCCAGCTACAGGTTCAAGCCGCTGAGCCGTGATGAAGTGGACAGCGGGCCGGAGCTGAAGCCGAACTGCGGAGCTGGGTACTGGGGCGTAAGCGGCTCCTGCGAGGCCGCGTAGTACTCGGCGAAGCAGTTGTCGCACACGCGCACGGGCTCGTCGTCGAAGCCGATTCCGAAGACGGACACGCGCCGACTCGAGTGCTCGTGACAGAACGAGTTGCCGCACATGCGGCAGTGGTGGCGCCGCACGAACAGATTGAAGGGCTCCTCGCACTCGTAGCAGTTGGTGGAGCGCGCCCACTTGACGATGCGGGGCATGCCTCGACCGCCGAAGTGCGCGGGGGACGAGCGCGGTGGTCCCTGGTAGAACGACGGCGCCACGGACGACGTCGGCGTCGGCGGGAGTCCGAGCGAGCTGCCGCCACTGCGTCGACTGTTGCCATGAGACGATCCACCGGCTGACAGCTGCGACTCAGACAACGACAGCGACGGCAGGCTCGGTGGGGCCTCCCCCATGGGCAGGTTCGAGAACGACGTGGTCGAGGCTGCGGACGAGGAGCGCGTCGGCCGAGTGCTGGACGAGAAGGACATGGCGTGGGACTTGCGCGACGTCTGCAGCGCCTGCTCCTTGACGGCGATCGACTGGCGCAGCATGTTCATCTGGCTCTGGATGTTGAAGATGATCGAGTCCACGTCCGAGCCCGCCTCGCTGGGAGCGCCGTCGCCGTACAATGACCCATCGCCCGAGGGGAAACGCTCCCTGCCGCCCTGCGACCCTCGGCCGAACATGACGGACTCTCTCGCGGCATCCTCGTAGTTCTTGCGAGCCACGAGCTGTTCCAGGAACTTGCACTTGGCGTCCAGCTCCTCGATCTTCTGGGACAACATGGACACGTGATCGAGCTGCTGGCCGGGCATGACACTACGCGCGCGACGTGGCGGCAGCAGCGACACCTCGTCGTCGATCTCGCCGTCCTCATCGTCAGATAACGCGCCGTCCACGGAATACCGGCGACGGCCTGTACGCGACGCGGTGACACGATTCAGTTCGAGCGGAGCACTGCGAGGCGGCCGAGCGAACGTTGACGACCGACGCCGCTGATCCCGCAGAGGACGCGCCTCGCGACCGTTCTGCTGGTCCACCAGCATCTGCTGCAGCCGCAAGATCTCGTTCTCCAGGAGTGAGTTGCGGTCATCGACGTGGCTGCTGCCTGCACGGCTGCGGTGCCTACTGCTCGCGCGACTGCGCTGTCTGCTGTTCGTGCGGCGGTGGGTAGGAGCCGAGATACGAAGTCGGGGCTCCATCCTGTCGTCACCGGTAGAGCTGTCTTCCTGCTCCGAGCTGGACAGATTGATCGGAAGCCCAACCGACCGGGTCATACGTCGCTTCGCTCGACTTGCACTGGAATCGTCACTTGGGGATGGTTCGGCCTCCATTTCGCGCGCAGCCTGCGAAGCCTGACACGCGTGACGGAGCCTCTTGAACGCCATGTTCAAGCGAAAACGTCGCAGCTTTTCAGTCACGAGGTTGTTTTGCCCGAGCCAGATTCTGCTCTGCCTCTGGATGATGACCACTGCCTCCAACTCACGCTTTTCCTGCTCCAATTGCTTGCGCTTGCGTTGGGCCAGCCAACGCCTGCACTGCGTCTGGATTCGGATCGCTGTAGACACCTCGAGCTTATGCCGGAGCAACCTCTCACGCTTGAGCTGCGCCAGCAAACGCCTGCAGTGCGCTTGGATACGCACAGCGGAGGCAACTTGAAGCTTTTGCAAGCGCAGTATTGCAAGCTGCTGCTGTGCAAGCCACCGCCTCCATTGAGCTTGAATGCGAACAGCGGCAGCTCCCTGACGCTTTTGATTGCGCAGCTCCGCGAGCTCGCGCTGAGCCAACCACCGCCTCCACTGCGACTGAATACGAACAGCAGCCGCTTGCTTGATCTTTTCGTTGCGAAGTTCCGCGAGCTCGCGCTGCGCCAGCCAACGCCTCCAATTTGACTGAACACAAATCGCAGCAGCGAGTTGTCGCTTATCCAGGAGCATTGCCGAAAGAATGCGCTGAGCCTTCAAGCGCCGGAAGTTCGCCTGGATCCGGGTAGCCGCAGCGATCTGTCGCTTATGCCTAATCATCTCAGCGAACTTGCGCTGTGCAACGCAGCGCCTCCAGAACGCCTGGATACGAGTAGCAGCATTTTCACGACGCAATTGGCGCAACTTATCCACCCGTCTCCTTCCCAGGAACCCTCGGACAATCGCCTGGACGTGCACCACGAAGCTGCGCAGCTCCTGGAACAAGACACGACGGCGATATCCGCGATAGTGCTTCTGCAACACAGTCGCGCAATGGTTCCGCAAGTCGAGACGGTATCGAGAGAAGCGGTTGTAGGTGGTAGACTTGCAAAACACGAGTGTCTTGCCCACCTGAACGTCCTTGCGTCTGATATCATTCTCGAAAGCCGTTCCGGTGCCGTCACCAGTGACTGCAGTCAAAACTCCTGGGTTCCTCTCTTCACGTTCAACGCCGTCCTCCAGTAGCACCTTGTCCATCAATACGGTTACAAGCGCTTGAGCCAAGTCGTGATTGTTCATCTTCGCAACTCGATCGCGCGTACTCAGGAAACACTTGAAGCCCGAGAACAACTCGATGAAACTGGCGTGTGCTAAACGCACTGAGTAACCGTGTCGTGCGATGCGAACAGCCTCGAGGACGCCGACGGAGCGCATCTGCTCCACCATCCTTTCACGGTCAAAAATACCGGGCTTCTTGACCTCGTTGGGTTTTAGACATCGAACGTAATGGGCCTCGGTGCGTCCAATCTGAACGATTAACCGGTCTAGCTGGCTCTTGAACTGCGCCGACACGCTTGGTTGTCGTAGCATAGAGTAGCGTCTCCGTCCGGCCGCTCCGTTCTCAGCTCCCGAGTCCACGTTCTCATTAGATCCGATCGCCACCACCACTTCATTATCTGAAGAGGACAAGATGCTGCTAGCGTCAGCAGGGAGCGCGTCCGTGTTCTTTTCGACGAACTGCTCAACGTTGTAGCACACGCGCCCAGCGAAGTGGTGGACCACGAACTGATGCTTCACGCGCTCCATCTTGGACGCTGAGAAAGGATGCTTTCTTGTGTCCTGGTGAGCAGGCTCCTCTTGCGACTCGGTTCGGTGCAAGTACCGGCTGAAGGACGACATGAGCAGAGGAAGAGTGCTCTGCGCCAGCTGTGGTTGCTGTAAGAGACCCGCCGAGTCTGCAGAGCCGTCTCCACCGTGATACCGATAGAACTTGGTGCTCAGCGCCTGGTTTGAGCCCTTCGGCATCAGACACTCCTGATCCAACAGCGAGAAGAGACCGTTGCTCTTGTCGTCAAACAGAGCCAAACACGCGGCATTACTGGGATACGAAATATTCCTCCAGTCGATACATTCTGCAATGTAAACTTGCTGCTCACGAACAAAGACGAACTCGTTAAACTGGGCCTGAAGTCGTTCGTTGGCGTAGTTGATACAAAGCTGCTCGAATCCATTGCGGTTCAAGCTCTCGAAGCCGAAGATATCCAGAATACCGATCGAAGCTAGCTCCTCGTCCTCGTCCGAGATCGACACCGCCGAGTCGTAATAATTAATCTCGTCACTCAGACGACGAACCAGCCACGTGAACAAGCGCCCGTAAATGGCTTTCGCCAGCGACCGGCAGATCTCCTTGGCCTGCTCCGGACTCAGCTTGAGCACCATAATCTCCATACCCGCCTTAATCTCTCGACTGCTCAACAACGTCTCCAGTTTGTCCACATTTACGCCCATGAGCTCTGCGCACTTGTCCAAATGAAACCGCGACTCGTCCGTGACGGCCGTGGCGTCATCCTGTCCTCCGGCGTCCTTAAAATTCACATTTCCCAGATGCAACAGCGCCGCCAAAATCTTGAAAATCTCCAGTCGTTCCTGCTCGCCGACACCAGTGCCCTCGAACGCGCGCACAGTCTCCACATAAAGCTGCGCGTACTTGTCGGCAATTTTCCTCCTTTTTGCAAAACTGGGTCCGTACGAATTGAGCAACTCGTAGTTGCCGCCCTTTTCCAGACCCAAAGTCGCTAACAGCGTCCTGTCCGCTCCTTCGAGCAGCTCATAGAAAATGTGGAAGCTGCGCTCCTCCGGGCTTTGGTGCAGCAAGCGCACCTTTTCCAACAAGTAGCTCACAATTTGCGCGCCGACGATCTGGTTGTTGTCTCCGAACTGGATTTTGATAAATTTGCCGAACCGACTCGAGTTGTCGTTCCTGATGGTCTGCGCGTTGCCGAACGACTCGAGGATGGGGTTGGTCTGCAAGATTCTTCTGCCGATTTCCACTGCGCCGCTGGTTTCCCTCTCGGTTAGAGACTGATCGCTGCCCACGCTGGTTAGAAACTGCATGAGGAACTTGGTGCTCTCCGTCTTGCCACTGCCGCTCTCTCCACTCACGAGGATGCTCTGGTTGCGTCGCTCGGGCTTCAATAGGCCGCCGAAGGCTTTGCCTCCGATGGCAAAGATGTGGGGCGGCAACTCCTTGTCTCTAACCGAGTTGCTGTTGCTGTTGCTGTTGCAGTTGCTGTTGCCGGTTAGCACTGTCATAACCTGCTTGTAGGCGTTTAAGTGACTCTCCGAATAGAGGTCCGGCAAGGGTTTTAACGGGTTCAACGCCACCAAAATGTCCCCGATGGACGTGTAGATCTGGTCGTGCGCGAACCGCTCGCTCAGCGCCTGCAGCAGCGCCGCCTCGTGCAGGTGCTCGAGGCTCGTAAGGCTCGACATGGCCGGGAAGTCCGCCGACAGGTTACGCAGACACAGCTCGTCGTCGAAGCCCGGGTAGCGTCCTGGGAAGGGGCGCAGACAAAGGTTAGAGAGTGCTAAAAAGATAGGCTAGTGCTAAACGGTTAGGATAGTGCTAAACGGTTTAAAGTGCAGTACTTACGCACAACGACGTCGTCCGTGTCAAGGCGGCGCACGCGCACGATGCCGCCGGCGTCCTGGTAGTCCACGACCTCGCCCGCGGCCCACACGGCGGCGTCCTTGGTCTTGACCCACACGCTGGTGCCGACGTCCATGACGGCGCACGCGGGTTGTGTGTGGGCTGCCCTGCCGCTTGGTCTCGCCGTCTGCAAATGAGATTCTCTCGCCCGCCCGCGGTTAGAGAAAGAAACACCTGCCAGGAGGAGGGTGATGGACAGTTCCTTCCGCCCACAGAAGGCGGGGGAGGGCAAACGTCTTGCCTTTTGTATCGGGAGGGCAGAGCCGGGCCACTCGCTTAAAAGTTTTTTGCGACGTGGTTGCGAGGTTGAACCGAAGGCGCGCGTCGTGCAGGCACTTGCTTCATCCTACAGTTCTTGAGTGCAGTTATTTAGCTGCGATGGCGTGGCGCTGGGAAGAAGTCGTTGCCTTTAGAGATTTTTTTTCGTGGAGAGGGATGCAATACTTGTCGCGGGTCTAGGGCAATTATTGGCCATCAGCGCGGTCTTATTCAAGTGCCAGCCGGCGAGCGGTACGAGGAGAGACTTTGGTCTCCGGCTCAGCTCGCACTACTTGCTTCTGCTGCAGTGTTTGTTGGTAGTCGCAGTGACAAAAGGAACGTGTCGAAACCTCGCGGAAGCTTCACCACTTGAGGCGAAACGGCGTCGTAACGCCGACTTAAAACCGAAGATACTGTTCCGAGGACAAGAAAAAGATCGGCGCTAGCTAATGCGCTTATCCCCTGTGGATGACGAGGCCATGAACATCCTTGCGTCCACCCGACACGCTGGCGCTCGAGCTCGCCATCGCCCCCGAAATGTGCGTTACTCGCGCAGGTGCCAATGGCCCGAAAGGGTCTTGCAGCCAGGCAGCGCAGCGCAAACCCGCGCGCTCCATGCATATTAGAGTGCAATACATGTATCTTGCTGGGGCCGGATGCGAACTGACCCCAACTGCAAGGGCGCAGGCTGGCCGAACCCCCAAGCCATCAAGCTGCGGCTATCGGCGCATTTCTCAGCTAAGGGCGTTATCAAGCCAAAAGATTCGAGCTGGCAAAACCGACTAAGTCGACCAGATGGCAAGCCAAGATGGCTACTGCGGACACAAGACCGGACGTCATGGTGCGCGGCTTGAAGCATGCCCGCAGTAGGAAGATGGAGGCGAGAAAAAGGATAAGAGCGCTGCATGAAGAAGAGCCGAGCTAAAAATCATTAACAAATTTCCCCAAATAAATCGCGCTCAGCCCACCTTCGTGTCGCAATATGGCATGCAAGCAACTGGTACCTCCCTCTCGATGCTAGCACATGCTAAACACGAAACTTGTGTGTTTGGTTGTATCTGGTAACGGAGTAGAAGTGTCGGTACAGTACCATATACTTACAGTAATTGTTAGACCCTGTTGTAGGGAGCATTATCGTTTCTGACCCTCATTGGACAAAAAGTCGAAATAACTGCTGGTAACATTTATACATTGTGCTTTGCAGTTATTTCGCCGCACAAACTTGCATAGAGTTCTCCTGGATCTAGTTAAGTAATCTGAAACGGAGGAAATTTATAATATTATAGGGGAAATCCGGTTGGGGGTCCGTAATTTAAAACTAATTCGGTTTGGGGTCCGTTCAAATCAGGAGGCGTAATCTTTGGCGTATAATTGAAAACCTACCGTGTTTTACATATACGGCTAATGCACAAAAATACTGTATCGTGTGGCCTAAATGCACCCTATTTCCGATATGCACCCTATGTGCGAACTATATTGTTATGTTAGAATGTACTCTGTCACCAATCTGTACCCTATGACCTAAAGATAGCATATATACTATTGCAATTAACGCGCCGCAAGACGTGTCTACCGAACCTAGCGATTGATGCTTGCTGCTCCTGTGATGCATGAAGATATGAATGTCACCGTGCTCCTTTCTCACGCACTTGGGCCCCTAGTCCTCTGACACCGCCCTCTTGCCCAGCCGTCCACACAGCTGTCGTACAGCAGGCAATCCTCCTTGGAACCTGCAGAACCAGTTCGCCTGAAACCTCAGCCATCAGAGCAACTACATGGACAAACGAAGAGGGGGGGATACGATGCGTACTTACAAAAGAAGAGTCGGTGCCAACAGCACCGACGAGCGTTGTTTGGACAGGAACTTGCGCCGGAGGCTAGTTCTTTTGTTGTTTCTGCGAGGGGGAGATTCTAAACTAAGATAACCCTCAGCCGTCCAGTCCTGCAATTTAGTGATAGAAATAGTAATAGAAACGCAGTGTCAAAGGATGAAAATCTTCACCCTGCCGATAAGGGAGGCGTGAGTAGATGGAGAGTCGCAGGGTTCATTTGGAGGAAGAAGAGATTGCGACTCCCGTGGTGTCTCCGCCCAGCTCACCAAGCGCTCTACGCATATGCAGCACGCCGCTAGCGGCACACCAGTGCAATATCAAAAGCCGGAAGCAAGGTATGGCAATAAGTCCGATTCTGTAGGGTACACTTAGGCTATACGTTACGTTTTACTGGGATAGGTAGCAACGTTAGTGCTGCTATCGCAGACCAAATAGGATTATATCCATGGTACGTCAAGTCAAACGATGACCCCTCTAAGAAAAGTCATCAATAAAACTAAAGAGGGGGGGTTGTACCAAAATCCTCCTATCCCAGCCTTCGCGGAGCCCTAGTAGTCATAGGGTACATACGGGGCACAAGTTACTGAAAGGTACTGTGTACGGTAAGGCCATAGGGTACGAACTAGCCGAGCGCCGCCGCTACGCGGCGGGGAATTTCTGGTTGGTTAGCGCTTCGCTCGCTATGCTCGCTCCGCAATTGAAGCAGGCTGCTTACGCTTCGCTACGGCAGTATTGGACCCGTTCCGCTCGCCTCGTCGGCTCGCTACACTACTCGCCGTCCTAGGTTAATAATGCAGGGTAGGGCGGGCCCCCAATAGGGCCCGCACTACTGAAAATTTTCAAAACCCGGTAGGTTTTCAATTTTACGCCAAAGATTACGCCTTCTGATTTGAACGGACCCCAAACCGGATTTCTCCAATAATATAACGTACTCGCCCGAATATAAGCCCTTCTAGCCTGTCGCAAGAAATACCGGTACTTAACGGTTTGTACATACAAACAAGATTACATACAAACAAGATTAAAGCTTTAGATCTGATAAAATATCTGATAATTTCAAGCTTCTAGGCCTGTACTATAAAATAAAGTCCGGACTTTAATAGGGCGAGTACGTTATGTGTACGTTCATCCATGCAAAATTCCCACCAAGTCAATATTCATCGCCAGCGATACCAGCATTTTAATGCTATTAGAATTGTTATATCATATTATCATATTAAAAAATGTTAGATACTTATTGAATATATTAATAACAAAAACCGTAAAACAACCTATTACTGAGGCATTTCGTGCGATTGCATTCAAGGTAACCTATTTAGTACAGATATTCACGTACTTTCCTATCGGTTTTTTAGTAATTATATTTTTAAGCCAGCTGTTTCTTCCTCACGCTCAGTCGGGTAATATTCAGTAAGATCGTGGTCAGGAATTTCATCAAAGTATCTCAGTAACCCATCATATGCATTGACTACGATTCCTATCAAAATACATGTAGAAACGACTGTTGTGGGACATCGCCCCCTGCTTCATGTGCGTTTTGACAAACAAAGTTGTGTTCAGACGCAAGAATCCCGGGGTGTCTAAGGAATTCTCGTCCAAAGATAATATCAAGCCAAAGAGCAACTTGACGGCATCTCGGCACGGTACGACGAAGTGCATTGTACTTCTAAGTTCTAACCCGCGTGGAACGCAGGGTTTCAGCGCTTGCACGTCGTCGCGTTGTAGTTGTCTTGTATCGATCCAGCCGAGGACGATTCAATGGCTTACTTGCGAGGCGGGAACTTCCTGGTAAGACAGGGCCTATATTGCTTTGTCTCTATCTGATCAATGCGATTGCCATGGCGTGCTAGTACGGTAGCAAAACGTAATGAGAAATCGAGAAGGATAATCTGATTACGCTTCGCAGGCGCCACATTATTAAGCTTCAACTGATTGAAACTGGACGGAGGCCGCTTAGCTGCAGCAAGTATAGTAAAGTGCTTTCGACCAATCATTGCCGCCTCTACTTTCTCATTTTTTGGCTGGGTGGTCCGTCATCGGTGCCTGTGAGCTTTGCGCATTGATTGTATTGATTTGTAAAGGGGATTTTTAAGCCTAGGCTACTTTCTGGACCGATTAAACGTTCAATAAACATTATCTCATTTCTCTCTATTCAATATTCGTGACACTACCAGCGGGGGCGCTGCGGCCAAAGACCGCGCACGATATGCCCAATATGTGCTACGGACGAACAGCAGCGACGACCATACCTCCACTGACGACGACCTCGGCAAAACAAGGTGAGAGAAGACCAGGCCCACCCACCCGAGTACTACCGACCTACTCATCGGCTTGTCGAGTAGATTGCAAGTGTGACGAGTCGCGGCATTCTTGGCGAAAGGTTACCGTTACCCAGCAGACACAAGGGAGGAAACGGAGGCGTGTCGAGGCTGAGCGCGAAGCCGATGCGTTTGTTCTTGTTTTTTTCCTACTCCAATTCGTTCGAGGTGGTGTACTGGCGGTTGATGCACCATGATTATATAAGATAGAGCTGCAGAAAGAGCAGAATACACGTAGCCGGTCACTGGAACTCCGAAGCTTCGAAAACCCGTGTTACGCCTGATAAAGACCAAGCTGCCGCAATTGAGACCAGCGCACGAAGAAGACAGGAAGACGAAGTGTTAAATGAAGGCAGCGCATATAGTAGACGATGAGATTGAGTCGGAAAACGTCACACTAATCACCTTTTTCCTCAACTTCTTGCTGGAGTCACGGGCGCTATACTGCCAGGGGGATTCAGCGAACGCCTCACCCCTGGAAATTTAATAACATCATAAGTATACGAGAGGCACCGAAACTACGGGCAGAGAACTCCGTTACCTGATCCAAATCGCTGCGCAATGACGTCCCATGCGCTATGACCGGGGCAGGTGCCTTCTTTAATTAGTCTGGACGCCTATTTAGTCTGGACGCTCAATTAGTCTGGTCCATACTATTAGTGCTCACGAACTTCATGACCACAATCCAGACTAATTATGCCGTAAGTTTCAGTCCATACTACAGTAGAAAATGCTCCAACGTGGATAAAGTGTTGACGATTCAGCCACGAATCGACTCTTTTCGAATAACTGTTTTTTATTTAATACCTTGAGATGTTTTAAAACTGTGTCGGGAGATGTAATAGCTGGCCCGTCCGTACAAAACCTTGAGCCCTGGCTGGCCCGGGTACACCTGTGGCTTGTGGGCGGGCGGGTACGGGTACCCGACTTCGGGTTGGACTGCTAAACGGGCGGGTACGGGTACCCGGTCCGCACCTTTTGCGAGCCCTGGTGATTATCCTCACATGAAGTTCTTTGTTTTGGTTCTTCTATATTATCTAAACACAATAGCACTTAAAAGAAGTAGCTTATTGTGCATTGCAGTTATTTTGCCGACAATTTTAGAAGCTAAATATGACACAGTCTGCTCCTAAAAACATGTAATTTTTTAACACATTTTCGACCTCAAAACTGCAAATTGTAAGTTCAAAACAGCAAACTGTAAGATCAAAACAACAATACTCTATAAACATGTATTATAAATTGTAGGATAAGTACCACAATATGTGATTATAGAGTGTAATTAGCCTATTGGCTAGATATTCTGAGTACCAACCAATGAGCTGTGTTTAAAAGTACTAGACTAGCCTGGTCTCTGCTCGTGCGGTTTTGAACTTACCTTTTGCAGAATTGAACTAGGAATTTGCAGTTTTGAAGTTGAAAAGGTGTAAGGGAAATGGCCAATCTCGAGTCGATTGCCAATTCAGGGCCGGTTCTTTTGACCAGTAAATGTTCAATACACCTCATCAGATGGAATGTGATTGGTTGCTTTTAGTATACCATACAAATGACAGATTTCGATTCTTTAGTGAAACCAAGTCAAACGAATCGGCCCTTAATTGGCCAGGGCTGTGCTGTTGTCCAGTCACCCATACTGCGTTTATTTCAGTGGGCTACAAGGTACAGAATAGCCTATCAGATTGGCAAGATCATTAGCTTTCCATCGATACCCTAGCTGTGTACTCAGTTGTGTAGATCGAAAGTTACAGATGAAAAAGTTGGACCCCTCCAAAATCGGCCCGAGATTGGCCATTTCCCTTACTCGAGATGCGTGGGTGAGGGGCGTGCTCCAGTACTACAATCCCAAGGCCAACTTTGACCGCGCACTGCAAGGCGAAATGTACATCGGATTGACTTCTATGCATCACTCCCCCTAAAAAATAAAATAATATTTTTAAAGCAAAAAAGCCTCTCAAACTACATTGATTGGAACAAGTATGATATTCAGAGCGACTCCACCTTTTCATCTCCGCTTTGAACTTGCACCATCTCCTCCCGTTGGTACACTGTACCACTCAATCACTGGCCATAAGTACGTCAGACTTGTCAAACCAAAGCGGCACTTGAGCAGCCAAGAGCTCCACTGGCCCTACCCGTCGCTCTACTCCTCCCCACCCCACAGCCATGGTCAAGAAGCGCACGCTGAGCCCGCTTCCGGCCTTCGACCAGCACGCGCTGCCCGCCTTCCTGCAGACGCACGGCTTCAAGGAGCTGCACGCGCTGACGATCTGGCGCCACTTGGCCCAAAACCCGGAGGCGTCGTTCGAGGACATCCCGGGCATCCCCAAGACGCTGCGAGCGCTGCTGGGCGAGCACTTCGCGCACTTCACGACGTCCGTGACCACGGAGCAGCGCTCGGCCGACGGCACCGTGAAGCTGCTGCTCAAGCTGCAGGACGGTCACGAGATCGAGGCCGTGATCATGCGCCACAAGGGCCGCAACACGCTCTGCGTCAGCTCGCAGGTGGGCTGCCAAATGGGCTGCACGTTCTGCGCCACGGGCACGCTCGGCATCATCGCCGACCTGTGCAGCGGCGAGATCCTGGAGCAGCTCGCGCACGCCAACCGTGTTGCGCCCATCCGCAACGTCGTGTTCATGGGCATGGGCGAGCCGCTCAACAATTACGACGCCGTGCTGGCGGCCATCCGCGCCATGACCAAGGTCTTCGGACTCGCGCCCAAGTACATCACGCTGTCCACGGTGGGTGTGATCCACCGCATCAAGCAGTTGTCGCACGACGCGCCGCTCGTGCGCTTGGCGCTGTCGCTGCACGCCCCCACGCAGGAGATGCGCAGTGAAATTGTCCCCACGTCCACGGCCTACCCGCTCGACAAGCTCATGGCGGCTATTGACGAGCACTTGGCGATGAAGTACGTTGATATATTCTGTTACGGTGAGGCTTTATGCTAACATTTTTGTCTTCTGTTGTAGGGAGGGACGGTTGGTGATGGTGGAGTACTGCATGCTGGCGGGCGTGAACGACTCGATCGAGACTGCGCACATCCTTGGCAAGCTGCTGCAGAACCGGTCGGTGCACGTTAACCTCATTCCGTACAACACGACGGACGTGGGCGCGCAGTTCCACTCGCCGTCGCCTGAGGACATCCGAGCTTTCCACGCTGTGCTGCGCGACCCGTACAACCTTAAGGCTACGATCCGTGAAAACCACGGCACGGACATTGACGGCGCCTGCGGACAGTTGGCGCTCAAGAGCAAGCCGGATGGAAGTGCTGTCCAGCGCGACATTGAAGACATTGGTCCCCGACGGACCAAGAACCCGCGCAGGAACAAAAAGTCGTCCTCGAACTCGGACAGCGTAACTGCGGACGCTACATCCGTTGAGACGTTCTCTGTTAGCTCATGGCTGGCTCGTGCTAATAGCTTCATTGATGAGCACCAGCAGGCTGTCGGGCTGGCGTTGTTGGGAGCATCGATCGCTGTGCTTGCTGTCGGCATTGCTCGTCGCGGACGGGCTCACATAAATTAATCCAGCAGTGCGAGCTACCGTAGAGCGGAAACAGGAAGCGTGCTACCCCATAGAATCTGAAGAAGCAGGTGCGGCGTCGGATATTTCATAAAAGACTTCTATTTGCCACAACATCAATTTGTGATCAGAAGTACACATGTATTTTGTCGGCGGAATTATTCATTTGCCTCGAGTAAATCGTCAAACAATGTGTAACTCTCTTACCCAGAGCTTGCGCTTCAACCTCGGCCCAATCCGTAGCAAGTAGACAGGTGCATCCTAGCCATGCGTAAAGTTCACTGACCGGATCACACGCATGGCTGCGAGCTCAAAAATGAGCGAAAGAATACGTCGATCCAGACGTTGAATAGCCCGCATTCCACCGTAAGTCGCGCTAAGAAACGCCAGTTTGGACTCTCGTTCTAGCGGCTGTGGCTGTATCAACTGTCCGTTGAATTGGCTAAAGCGCTTCTCCCAGGCCCTCAGAGATGGTGGCAACGGTGAAATAGCGATCAGCACCGTCTCGAGTTTCGTGTTGTTCGTCAACGCCAGATACAGCTCCCCGAGAGTGGCGTTATTCACTGAACCGGATTCGGCAGGGGTGTAAATGACAAGCTCCTTCAAATGTTTTGCCAGATGCGTCGTTGGATCTCCTAAATTTCTCATAAATTCCAGACCGTGGTCTTCCCCGATGCTGTCCACAGGATCGAACGTCATGCTAGATATGGCCGGGCAATTTTCTCCACGTTGGCTGAAATCTTCATAGGTAGAGGCCAAACGATTCAAGGAAATAAAGCTTGCCTCAATCCCTAGACTTGTTAATTGAGGGCATGCACGAAGAACGATGGCCACCACATCATCGTCAACTTCTCCGTACAAATGTAGATAGAGGTGCTCAAGCGACCACCCGCTCTGCTGCAGCAAAGTATTCATCCCGATAGCGTGGTCAAACTGCGCGTCAGGATACAGAGCGAGCGATTTCAGAGGCCCTCCAATTGACGCTGCTTGTGCTTCAAAGGCTTCGTCCGGCCCTTCCACAAGGCAACTTTCTGGCACACGACAAGAACCATAAGCTGGGACAATCACATTAATTGAGCGCTCATTGTTGCCAGCGCTCTCAAGATCACTCTCGCCTGCACGACTCTCCATCAGCTGTACGCGCGTATCAAAACCCAGACAAACGGGATCGCCACCCCATTCACCTGTCAGTTCGCCAAAAAGTTGCAGTTGAGTGCCTTTACGCAACAACCAATTCTTTCGGAGCTGTGGCTCCAGAGATTCTTTCTCTTGAATGGCCTTTATGATAGTAGCCACGTCGTCCATTTTGAGCTTCGGAGCCACAATATCCGCGGCGCGGACTAAAGAATAGGAGCTGTAGTTGCATGGAGAAGCGTTTGTGCCATCATCCCCCAGTACCTTTCGCGCATCACATCGTCGAGGAACCCACTTGCGACGGACAAGTCCTTAATGGGGGTCCTCGACACCGATAAAGCAGAGTATAGCGCCTCGAACACCCACAACGATGTGTCGCCGCCGTATCTGACCTGGAAACCATCGATGCAAGGCACTTTCGGTGGCTGTATCAAGGTTTCTTGTAAGAACGTTGCGAAGGCCTGTCGGCTCGCGGGGTGGTCAACTTCGGGTCTTTGCTCTGTTAGGCATACAGCCAGCCAGCCAATAGGAACTCCAACGCCCACTACAGCAGCCAGCAGTTTCCTCCGTCATCTCAAAGTCACTCACAACCAGCCGTAGATCAGCCAACTCGTATGTGAAATTCTCCGCGCTGTCGGTACTTGCCACCGCTTCGATACCCGCTTGGTTCAGCTCCCGATCTCGGTTCTTCACATCGTCAATAAGCTCTCGCAACCCCTTCAAGTATCGGACAAAGAGCTCTGGCGTGCATCCGTAAGATAGCTCGAAGGAAACAGCCACCCGAATACTCAGCAACCTCGGTACCGGAGCGCCGATGCGAAATGGCATGGCAAAAATCCGCGCCTTTGCGTCCAGATACGCCGCGCTCGGCTGGTATAACAATTCGTCCTTGGTCATCAAGAACCACCCCCACTTGTCGAACACGGAGACTGTCACGTCCTCAGCTTTGTCCAGAAATGCTGAAAACTCAAGCTGTGGCAAGACAAACCCGTCCCGGTCCAGCCGACACCTCCGTTTAAAGGCTTCTTCGGCCTCCACACTAAAGCCGTCTGGGGCAAGGACCTCTTCATCATCTGCATTGGTGTCGTCCTCCTCCCCTTCTTCCCCACGAGTGAAGAGTCCCAGGTTTTCAGAGCGCACGCCGCACTTTTGGCACAGCAGCATCTTCCACACTTTGGCGTCGCGGTGGGCGACGAGCACCAGCAGCTGCCAAGCTTCGCGTAGTCGCCACTGTCTCTGCATCTGTCGCTGTCGGTTGTCTTCGTCATCATTGGCTCCCTCGTCCTCCTCGGGCTCTTCGGCTCGCCGACTTCGGTGACTGCCAAGCCCTCGCAGTCTGCCGTCGCCCCATACGTATAAACGGCCTGGTACCTCTCGTAGCTCCTGGCACCAAGGGAAGAGGAACTCCCACGCAGCGATGGAATGGACGTCAATCGACGCCTCGGGGGGCGACAGATCTGACTCGGGCTCCGCCATCTTCACACTGGGTGGGCCTTCTCTCACGGAGAACTTCAACATGGTTTGGGAAAATGAGTAAAGATATCCGAAGACGGGCGCTTTGTGGTCACGACACTCGCGCCGGTCGATATTCGCTTAACGCACTCACTTCCTCGTTGTATTTACTTCGTTTCTCCTGCTTGCTAGACTACAAATTACTAACTACTTTGTTTTTCCCTGCATGCTTCAACATGGCTCACAAATCTTGTACAACATGGACGGCCGCGTCCTCCTTCACTCACATGACCAGACGCATGCTCGGATTCGGACGATGGATGCTATGATCGGACAGCCTGCACTTTGTGGCTGTGGCTGTGACTGTGGCTCGTGTGGCCCGACGTGCTGAGCAAACAGCTCAGCGCCGACGGTGTGAACTTGGACGCGCGGAAATACTTAAGGGCGTAGTAGGAATCCTCGAACAGCGCCACGACCTTGGAGAAGGCGAAGCTGCTGGCGCTCACGTTGCGGTCCGGGTGGATGGGGTCCTCAATCACCAACGCAGGCTTGCCGATGTGCGAGCGGTGGTTGTCCGCGAGCCTGTAGATGTATCCGCCATCGCGCACAGATAAGCCGTTCTTGCGGTAGTCGAAAATAATGCCGAAAAACTCCAGGATCATCAGCGTGTGCTCGCCGAGTGACACCGGGGGCTGCTTGGGCTGAGCCGACTCATCGTCGCTTTCCGTAGAGGACGAATGGCTGCACGACGAGCTGGAGTCCTCCGTGTCCGCGTTGCTGCTCGACACGCTGACCGCATCGATCTGACGAGCGTCCTGCGCCTGCTTCTTCGTAGTGATAACGCTTTTGCGTTTGGCTGCCGAGGACGACGACCCAGGTGGGGCCGACACCGCAGCGGCATAGGTGGATGGTGGCCCGGCAGGCTTCTTCTTCTCGGACACCTTGGCGATACCTGCTGCCACCGCAGCGTAGCTGAATCGTGGCTCAGCGGTAGAGCTGTCATCCGTTGCTTTCTGCTTCACACGAGCCACGATAGCTGCATAAGATGAGGTGGGCGCTGGAGACGGCAACGAGGCCGACTTCTTCAATAAACCGTTTCCGCCTGCTGTCCCTGGTGCTTTAGAAGACGACGCCTCGACACTATTCGAGCTTGCTGCTACCGATTCTGCCTGTATCCGTGCTGCCTTGAGCGCCTGATTCTTCGCTGCGAGCACTGACGGCGCGGGTGGCAACGACCCCGACGCATAGATAGAGGCTGCTTCAAAGCACGACTCGCCATTTCTCCAAAGCTGGGAGAAGTGGATAATCATCAGCACGACCGAGTACGAGCTGAGTCCACCGGTGTAGGCGTCGTTCAAGTCCCGTTCGCGCAGCAGCTGCTTGAAAACGATCGCCAGCGGGTACAGCTCAGGCATGTTGTCCGCGTAGCGCTTGATGAGGTCGCGAGCGAGTAGTCCACTGTGGGTTGCCGCTGACTCAAACGTAATGTCGATGGGCACGGACGTCTCGGCGCTGACCAGTTTCAACACGGGCACTTTGGCCGTGTCCAGCACGAGCAGCGACTCGACCCACTTCTTCTTCTCCAGCACTTTCGCGAGCTCCTTGAGGTGCTTGGCCGTCAGCTGCGAGTCGTTCACGTCCACCACATCCAGAATCACGAGGTCCACGTCGCTGCTCGGCAGCCAAATGCCCGTCGAGTACGAGCCAAAAGTCTCCACTTTGGACTGAGGCCACAGGGACAGCACGCTGGCGCGCACGTTCGCGATCATCTGCTCAATGTGGACGGCCATCTTGTCCACCGTCTTCTTCGTGTACTCAGTGTACTCGAGGATCTCCTCGTGCAGTGCGTCCGTCACCGCGCGGTCGGCCGTCATGGACATGAGCGCGGGCTTTTTGGCCTCCTCCTTCTTCTTCTGCTTGGGTCCCCAACTCGGGAAGTTGCTGCTGTTCATACAGAACGACGAGGAGGAGGAGGAAGCTGAGGACGACGACGAGGCCGCGGAGCCCGCATTTGGCGCCAGTACGAGCTTGTGGTTGCGGCTCTTGACGTTGTCCTGACGCAGCAAGTCGGCGGTGTCCTGCTGCTGCTGTTGCTGCTGCTGCTTGGCCTTGTTCTCCCTCTTCTTGGCCTGCTTCTTGGCGGATTTGGACGGCAGCTGAGCAGCGGCGGCCGGCGGCTTGTAGTGCTGCTGGGGCTGCGCCTGAGGCTGAGCTTGATGAGGCTGAGGCTGCTGCTGGAAGGTGGCGGCCTTGTGCTGGCGCTTCTTCTTGGCCTTGTCGTCGTCCCGGCGCGGCGCGAGGTTGGCCGCCGCCCCGCCGCCGAGCTGGCGCCGGTGGTCCACGCCCACGAAGGCGGCGTCGCGAGGCTTCATGGGGCTGTAGCGCTGGGCTGGCTCGGAGCTCTTGGATGGAGGGGAATCTGGGCACGCACGCGGCTTTGTATTGTGGAGACGGAGCGGGCGGACGGATGCAACAGTCAACGCAAAGCCCAAGCACTGGACGAGGAGGTCGGAATTAAGCGGGGGTAGGTACCGTGTACCGGTGGTGATGAAAAGTGGTGTGCGCCACACCACCCAGCTTCAATTTGGCCCTCTGCCGCAGCGATACTCAGCTTCAGTCCGGCGTCGCGGCGTCGCGGGATCTTCGCCTGAAGCGCCGCCAAAAGCTGAGTTTGGTCAGCGCCTGCTTCAACTTGACACCGGCACCAGCCACGCCACCCGTTTTGGTCTGCACCACCACGCGAAGGGCTCAGCTCGGAGAGCGCATCGCGCTGACTGTGTGTGTCAGACCAAGCCCAGCCAGCATAGCATTCGAGCGTCTGAGTCGGCGCGTCCCACGGCATGACGCGCGGCGCGGAAATCAGTTGCGAAACCCAATTTTTGGTCGTAGCAATCTTTTCCATTATCGAGTGGATATCAAAGTTAGTTTCCGCGGCGTTACTGTACGAGTCGACGCATCCCAGCCCTTGGCTTGCACACTCACTGCAGGGGCTCATTACTGCAACGGAGTCGTCCGAGCCGAGCGTGCCGCCATCCGGGGGCGAGCGGAGCTAAACCTTACCGCGAGAAGCGTCATCCGATCAGTTCGTCCACCGCCACCACGACGGGCGGAAGCAAGAGCGGACGAGGGGACGCCACCATGGCGGAAGCGGACGCGGACTGGCTGCCGGACCTGGCGGCGCTCGCGACGCTCAGCGTGGCCGTGCACTACGTGCTGGGGCTCTACGGGCTGCTGGGCGCGCTGCTGCTCTTCGTGCTGCTGGAGCACGGCAGCTCGCTGCAGATGCAGCTGCAGCTCCAGCTGCGCGCGGACAAGCAGGAGCCGGCGCCGTCCGCCCTGGAGGACGACGCGTCCACTGAGGGCGACGACGAGCTGCTGGCCGCGCCCGACGACGTGCCGCCCGAGCAAGAGCGCGACCAGGAGCAGGAGCAGCACAGCGAGGAGGAGGACGAGGAGCTGCAGCGCCGCCAGCGCGTGGCCCGCCGCCGCATGGCCAGCCTCGTGGTCAACGACGTGGGCAGCGCCGCCTCGCCGCCGCGCGAGGACATGGAGATGAACTCGCGCACGCCCATCGCCTTCGAGACGGAGCTCTTCACCGGCCGCGCGCTGTTCCTCGTGCGCACGCAGCCCGAGGACCCGCACTACGTGGCGCTGTTCGCCGGCAAGCGCCGCATGTTCTGGATCCAGGTGCAGGGGCGCTTCAAGAGGGCGCCGCGCGGACCTGTCTACCTGGGCGGCGAGCTGCCGGCGCGCATCGCGCCCGGCGTGTTCACACGCAGCGTGGCGCTGGTCATCATGGGGCTCATCCGCAGGCTCGTGGGCCGCGTGAGCTTCAGCTTCGGCAGCTCCGGAGATAGCAGCGATAACGCGGACGAGCTGCCGGCCGTGGCGTTCCCACTGTTCCAGTCAGTGGACCAGTTCGTGGAGACCGCGGACGGAGAGCTGCCGCCGGAGCTGGGCGTCGCGGACTTTGGGGAGAGCGAGGAGCAGCGCAGACTGAGGAGACACACGCCGCTCGGCGCCGAAAAGTACGAGGTCGGACCCACGTACACCTTCGACTTCCACACCATGTACGTGGACTTGACCCGCTGGGAGACGGCCAATTTGCCCGGCGGGCTTAATGCCATGGATCTGGCCAGCTTCTTCGACTCGCTGCCGCTGCGCCTCGTGGCGTACGACGTTTGCTCCACGGCGGCGGAGGCGGCATCGGATAGCCATCGCCAGCGAGACAAGGACTACCTCTTCTCCTTCGAGGTCAAGTACAACAAGCACCGACGTCATTTGCAGAGCGACGACGAGGTGATGACGACCGAGGAAGCCATTAGAGAGCGGGGAAGTGGCAGCGGGAGAGCATCAACGTCGACGGTATCTGGAACGGGTTTGAGTCTGATGGGGTCGGAGATGAGCACCATGAGCACGACGTTGAGCGATGCGAGCTCGCTCACGGAAGAGGACCCCGTATTGGCGCAGGAACACGCTGCGTTCTTGCGGCGTGAACACGCTCGACGGCTCGGGCAACTTTCGTTCTCGTATTTGTGCTGGATGGAGGAAGTGGACGTGGCGTCGGACGTCCGTCGGGTGCACTACGTGTTTGCTGTGAAGGACAAGGTCGGTGAATACGATGAAGGTGTGGTTGACGCGGAGGGCGAACTTCCGAAGCCTTGGTGTCGCTACCGCCTCGCAATTGTAAGTAGCTACGAGCTGCGCAACCTGCTACAGGGTCGTCACGCCGCCAAAAGCGGCAAGGCAACCGAAGAACTGGAAAAACTACGCTTCCACAGCCGCTCGCGGATCGGGAGCTACAGCACGATCTCGACCGAGGCGCAGCAAGTTGTAATGCACCTGCAGAGGCTGGCTGCAGAACCGCTATCATCGTCGGCTTTGCCCTCGTACTCCAGCGATTGCCCAAGCGACACGGAAACACTTGATGGGGGAAATGACAGTGAGGACAAGCAAGCTCCTGACGAAAGCAGACTGATTGCAGCCCAAGCAGCGCTATACAAGTGTCTAACGAAGCGCGAACGCCTGCAGGACTCGTACACTCCCAGCACCAAGCTGTCCCCGTCGCGGATTGGTGTCAACCTAAGCCGCCGCGACCGTGAAGAAATGGGCGTGGTCTTTGAAGGTGTGGTGTACCGCTACAACGCCGCTGAATTCCTAAGGCAAGAAGTCCTGTTGCTGACGAAGGACGCGCTGCTATTCTACCGATCGTACGCTTCCAGCGCTGAGAAGAAGGTGCCATGCTCGCACATCATCGGAGCTCGAGCTGTGGAAATACCGTCAAGTGCCGCGTATCGCGATGGTTCTGGCGGTACTGACGGGGCTTTTGCGCTGCAGATCAGCACGTTCGCTGAAGAAATCCTGCTGTGTGTGGGCACGGCTTCTACTCGAGATGCGTGGGTGAGGGGCGTGCTCCAGTACTGCAATCCCAAGGCCAACTTTGACTGCGCGCTGCAAGGCGAAATGTACATCGGATTCACGGCCTCCACTGCTCTCCGACCCGCAAACCGCGTCGAGCTCAACTCGCGGTTGCTGTTCCCGCAGTTGAAACAGCAAGAGCTGCCGAGCAGTGCCGTCACCAACCGAGTGGACGCTGAAACCATTGCTGCTGATACCATTCCTGGCGCTATGAAACTGGTGAAACGTACACTGAGGCGTGCGCTCCACATCCTCAACAACGCGCAGCACCTTTCAGTGACCGACGTGCTGGCGTTCTTGGACGATGCAAGCGCGCTACGAGCAGTGGACCTGCAGCTACTGCAGGACTCGGGTTCGCACGAAGAGCAGGTGGCGTTCTACCTGAATCTGTACCACACAGTGCTCGCGCACGCTATGATCGCTCAAGGATTTCCGCGCGGCAAAGGACAGTGGAGTCATTTCCTCACGCGAACCTGCTACGCGCTGAGTCGAGGCCCAGAAGGCGAGCAGGTGAGTCTCTCGCTAGCTGAAATCGAGCACGTGATTCTGCGAGCGCGCTTACCTCGCGCCGAGCTGCCGCATCTGAGCTTGGCCAGCATTATCAAGGCGGCCAACGACCCAGCGAGTCGACTGCGTAACCTCGGGCTGCAGCACCCAGACTTTCGCCTCAGTCTAGCTCTGGTGTTGAACCACATGTGCAGCGAGGAGATCGTGATCTACGAACCGGAACACGTGCACGATCAGCTGAATGCAGTTCTGCGCTCGCTACTGAAGCGTAGTAGTGCTCAAGGCTACCTGGAGATGAAGGAAGACTCGAACACTATCGTGCTGCCACGCGTATGCGAGTGGTATCGCCATGATTTTGGCGGAGCGGCTCGAATGCGAGACGGCCAGCGCGACGAAGACGCTTCAGCGGTTTATTGTGTGCGCAAGCTGCTGGGCTTCATGGATGGAAGACTGCAGCTTCAAGTGATCAATGCGCTGGGCCTCGACGACGCCCCTCTCCGCACCAAGTACCGTTCGTTCAAGTACACGCCCAAGACTACCCTGGTGGAAGACAAGAGTTTACGACCGTCCGTATCTGAAGATAGCAGCGCCGACGCTGAGTCGACATCACATAGTTTCCAAAAAGAAGAAGAAGAAGAAGAAAGTGGCGGGACAACTCAGCTGTAGCAGACGCGACGCTCAACATCGCTCGCGCTGTCGTATGTATATTTATCATTCTTAGAGTTCGTTAGCAAGCCGCTGTGTGGCGAGTCAAGCAAGTGCATTCATGAACGTCCACTTCAGCCTGGTTTCCGCTTCAACATAACTTGACACTTTGCTAGTCGCATCTCCCAAGTCCGTCAGCAAGGCTTCAATTTCACACGCTTAATTGGTTCTTTTGGTTTGGCTCGCTTTGCTTTCTCCCATTCATCGCTTCCTCAGCTCTACTACTTGCTACGAGGTGGGATGACAACAACAACAACGAGAGTTCTCCAGACCAAAGCCAATAATAATAATATCAATACGCCTTGGACGTTCGTTCAACTGACGCGCGCCGCTTGCTTTGATCTGCTGCTGCTCGACATCTAACACACCACCCATTTCTTGGCTCTTCCCATCCATTGACGTCTTCGCCACTTGCACGTCGCAAACAGCCGAGCAGAAGTAGGTCCCTGCCAGTCGACTTGGTGGCAGGACGCAGCTTCAGGAACTGCGTGAACCAGACTAACGACCACGACGCAGAGCTCACTGCGAGGACGTCGGCGACGAATTCGCCGTGCCGTTCGAGGTAGGGGGTTCCATGTGGTTGTCGGGCTTGATGCACTCCAGCATTTTCACAAGACGCTCGTTGCCCACCATTTTTTGCCCCAAAATCTTGAAGTGATGGCAATCGCGGTTAGCACTGCAGCAAGAGGCAAATGAGAGGCAAAGTCAGTTTCCTCAGTACTTCCATCACTGATCTTAAGCACAGCATAACGTACTTATCATAAGGAGGCACCATAATGTCCAGCATCGCGCAACCAATGTCAGAGCTAGCCTGGATGTTGTGCAGGTTGAAACGACGAGGGTCCAGCCACGTGGTGGTGTCCGCGCCATATTGACCCTGACGACTCACGCGCGCCCACGAGACTGAGCCTTCTGCAGGGTTGATTGCGCTGAAGAGCACACAGCACAAGCAACTGTTAGCTCGAGAAGAACTGGCCCACCTGACAGAAAAGACATCGAACGTACTCGGAGGTGAAGGTGGTGCCATCGTAGGTGATCTCATCTCCTGTTTCCAGCGTGTGAATCTCGGTATCGGAGACAACATCGTACGACGTCACTTTCGCAGCACCGTACAATCTAATCACACAACCAGCAATAACAAATTAGCCTTCCGCATACAGATGCCCACAGACATTGAGGTCACAGGCCCTTACACTCTCGTGACGACGCTCATGCCTGGGTGGTTGTGCAGCGGGATGGTGCTGTTCGGCGGCATGAAGAAGATACCAATATCAATGGTGTCACTCTCCCAGAGCTTCCAGTAGTGCACGTCGCTCATCGTGTTGGCGATCTGCGGGGTCGGCACGTGGATGCCGAAGTGGTCTGCTCGCAGCGCGTTGCACAGCGCCACCACGGGGCTCAGCATCGTCTCGACCTGCTTCAGCGACAACCTGGTGTTGGGGAACTCGGCGCGCTCGACGCCAAGCTGCGTCAGCGTGTGGTTGTGCGTGGCGAGCATCTGGTGCACGACGAGCTGCACGCCCGAGAGTCCCTGTAAGCTGGCGTTGGCTGCCTGTTCGGCCTCCAGCGCCTTCTGCGCCTCCTTGGCCTGGACCGCCGCGGCTGCAGCGGCCACGAGCGCGTCCTCCTTGGAGAGCGGCGGGTTGGGCAGCGACACGCCGCCGTTCGAGAGCTTCCGCGGCTTGCCGTCGAGCCCGTACTCGGGCTCCTCGAGACAGTGGCGGATGGATCGGGGGCTTATTATGGGGCTGCCGCTCACTTTGAACACATTGTGCGGCTCGGCGTCCGCGACCGGGTCACCCGGGTTGCGCGCGCGCGTGGGGTCGATGCGCTTGGTATCTTTCTGTCGCGGCATGACGTGACGGTGGTGTCTTGGTCTCTGGCGAAGCTGGAGCTGGTGGGCGGGTCGCCTGACGAGGCCGCTGTAGTGGTGGCTGGGGTCGTAGGCGGTGGCGGGCTCTGGGTGCGGCTCTCTAGCGAGCGGGAATCCTCCAGGGGATGACGAGTGGGTCGGCTCTGTGGGGGTCGAGGTCGAACTCGAGCTGGAGGTCGAAGGACTGGGATACTCGCGCAGGAAGCAGTAGACGAGCTTGCCGACGTCCTCCTTGTGCTTTCTGCTGGGGCTGGAGCTGGCGCTGAGCTTGGACTGGACGGCGCGGGTGGCGATAGACTCGCTGCTGTTGGCAGAGGGGTCAGAGAGAGCGTGAGACTTGGCCATGGTGAGCGGAGAGGTCGTGAGCTGCGGCCTCCTCCCCTCGTCCACGGCGACCACGAGGCGCGTGCCCTCTGGGCGCTTGCGCTTCTTAGTGGCAGCCAGCGTTCACACACGATGGAACGCCACGACACTGAGGCGAGCCTCTAGTGATGAAGGCAGCGCCACGGCGCGCTCGCTTTGATGGGCGCGGGTGGGCAACGACTGCGCTTTTTAGAGAGTGCAGGCAGGCGCTGCGCCAGCCGGAAGCATGCGAGGGAGATCGCTTTAGCTACGCGTCTAAAAGACTTACTTACCGAGGGGGGGGGAAGCTTGGCGGAGCTAGGGAAAGTATGGGTTGCCAATGCCCATGGACACGCGATGCGGAAAGAAACGCACACCTCGACTGCAAGACACGCCGCCAAAACAGTTGAGACAGTAACCAAAAGAGGGTGAGGTTGGCCGTAAACGGCGGCCAAAACAAGGTGGTATAGCCCCCAGAAATGTCAGCCTTTTTCATAGTCGCCGGTTCGCAGCTGGGACCCGGAAATGGCGACGTCATTTCCAAACAGACGGCGGCCAGCCACCGGCTGGTGAATAGATTGATGAATGTATATTCGTATTGACAGGTACGTTTGCAGCCCAGCGTTGTTTAAATGGCAGAAACAAGATATGTATTACTGAAGTGCATTCGGTTTTGCAGTCGTTTGGAGCGGATGTTGAGAGCTCTGGCGTTCGTGAACTTTTTGCCAAGTTAAATGGGCAGGTTTGGCGACGACGTCGCGGTCACCGGCAATGTCAAACCAGCGTATCGTAAAAGCAGCCCTCTTGCCGACGATACAGCGGCGGACAGTATTGACTTCGCTTGCCGGCGATACATGTATGATGGCGGCTTGAAGCCGCCGACTCGAGCTCGACGCTTTCAGCGAAGAAGAGATTTGCTCGCGTTGTGGTCCACACGCATTCATCGTGTCTCTGTCGGGGCATAAAGACAAGGACGGCCATAAAGACATGATCGAGCGCCATTCCAATGCCCGCCGTGCTGGCAGCTAGGTTGCGGCGCAAAATCGGCACGTTTCGGGGCTGTTACGGAGCCTGGAGGTGTCGGCAGTGTATTGAGCACTTTTGGCTCGAGTTTCCGCCCACTTTTGAGGCCCATTTTCGCAGCCGGTTATCATGAGATCAGACGTGAAATGAAATTGGCCGGCGCTCATTCTTTGTGCTTTAAAAAAGGCTGATAATTGTCCCCCGAATTATTCTCTAAAACCGCGGTTTTAGCCTAATTCGAGGGGCAACCAGGTCAAGCAAGCTCGGCCTCGGCCACGACTTCCCACGTCTCGACCGGCCCGAGCGTGCGCCACAGCTGCAGCTTCTCCATCTGCCGGACGACAGTGAAATCGATCAGCTCGCACCGAGATCCATGGTCTAACACCAGCAGACACTTCCAGCAACAACCACGGCAAACTCACCTTGACCCTCCGCCCAGCGAGGCTCGGCCGTAATTCTTTTGCCAGCTCCGCGCGCGCCGCACTGGTGAGATCTCCGTAGATGAAACTGCACACGCCAGTAGCACTCTTCGTCAGGCGATCGTGCTAATTTCCCGCGCCCGGCATCCTCGATTCGTGGCTTCGAAATGCCGGGGCTTCTTCAAGCAAAGTTGAGCGGCTCGACGCTCGAATCGACCAGCTAAGCTTACCTCACATGAGGCATGAACTCGTCGTTCCTCTCGACACCGTAGATCTACACCATCAAGCAGCGCAATGAGCGTGAGTAGCGGCCAACAAGCTGACAAGAACTATTCCTCCGAAATGCAATCTCACCTCCTTTGCGCGGCGGTGCGCGTGCGCCAGCTCGTCCGTGAGCGTCAGCAGACCGAAGACGCACTGGAAGTAGAGCTCGCCCTGGGGGGGGGAATAGCAGTCCGCAGTAGTGAGTAAGAAAGCACTCGCACTGCACACTATGATCCATTCGCAACCGCCGCTCACCTTGAACGTCACCGTCTCGACCTCCACGTCCAGCACGCGGAGCTCGTTCGCCAGCTCCGACAACTTGGCTGCGGCCTCCTCCGCTTGCATCCCCTGACACAAATCATACAGACGTTAGATTCGGCAACGCTGATTGGGACGGAAGATCGCCGTCACCTTCACTCCGGACACGACCGTCATGTGCGGCAGGAACGGCGACGTGCTCAGTCGCGCTGCATACGTCTTGATAATGTCTCCGAGCTCCTGCGTCGCCGCCGGCCCGGGCACAGCCCAGATGGAGAAACCCGCCACCACGTCGGTCGAGTCCGCCATAATGCTCTCGGCGCTTTCAAAGAAACTGAAGCAAATCAAACGGACGGCGTTGATTGGTCGAATCGTGATGTATGGCTCTTCAACTTGGCCGCCTCGCGGAGCACACTCGCCATCCTAGATCAAAGAAACCAAGGCAGACATTGGCCACGCCTGCCTTAGTTTCTTTGATCTAGCATGGCGAGTGAGCTCCGCAAGTCGAATTCACAAGTGAGTTGGAACTTCTCACTGAGAATGCTCGGACCGAAGACACCGAGCCGCTCGGTGTCTTTGAGCTCTTCAAGTGTCGACACCATCGGAGTTTATCGCTGATCTCGGTGGGTCACCCGCTTGCTTTTGTAATGCATGGGAGCTGTCTTCCTTGAAGGAATGTATAATAGCTTCCTACCGCTGCAGGTCGCCTGCTAATGGGGAAGATCTAACTGAATCAAAGGCGAAGGATCATCGGGTGCAAGAATGCCAAAACGTAATTTACTCTGAGGCCTCTATCTGGCTCTTCACGGTGGCGAGCTGCTTGGCGAAGGCAGCCTCGCCGACCTGGAGGGCGCCCTTCTCGGACGCGTCCAGCTCCGGCATCTCCTTCAGACACGCCAGAATGGCCATCGCCGATTTCTCCAACTCACGCACAGCCTCGGCCAACTCATCAGTTCCAATGGGAGGGTACAGCGCCGCGCCAAAGTCCACGATGGCGTCCTGCGCAGCGGTGTAGCTCACGTCCAGCCTGGCCGTCCACTTGAGGAACGCGTCCTGGTCGTTCGTGATGGTCAGCTTCTTGATAGTCAGCACGCCGCGCTTCATGATGGCCGCGCACATGGACAGCAGCTTCACACCGCTCTGGAACAGGGTGCGCTCCTCCTCCGTCAAGCTCGACTCGAAGCCAAACTCGTCGTCCTGCTCCACCTCGTCCAGGGCCGGCGCCTGGCTGTCTCCTTCCTCCTGTTCGGCGAGAAACTCCTTGAGCTCGTCGACCGTCGAGTTCAGCATCGTAATGCACTGTCGACCACAACGATAACAGTGCAATAGTTAGCGATTGTGCTGCATTATAAAGGCAACTCCGCAAGAGCCAATGCACCTGCAGCATGCTGCGCTTGGACGCCACGCAGTTCGACTTGGACACACGAGCCGTCGAGTACTCCCACACACGACCGGTGAGCTGCGGCACCTGGGCCAGGTCGCCCTTCTCAATGTCCTTGGTGAGGTCGTGCACGCTCTTGATCAAACGACTGCAACCAGCAAAGGTCAGTTTTCACTTCAACGTCACAGTCTCCGCTAAGCCACAACCCACGCAGCCCACGTACATTGCATCGTTGATGATTTCCGTAGCGAGCGACGGTCCTGCGCCGCAGAATAGCGCAACGGTGGTGGCGGCCAGCACCTGCTCGCAGGGCTTGTCCAGCGCCTCGCAGATGCTGGCGGCCTCCTCCTTCTTGGGCGTCTTGCTGTACACGAGCGAGAACTTGGTGACCGTGTGGCCGATGGCTGCCGTGGCCTGGAAAGTTGCAAAAGTTCACGCAATTAGGCGTCATTTTAGCCTCAACAAGCAGCAGAATTGCGTCAACACAGCGTCAACCCACCGCCACGAAGACCTCGCGCGCGACGTCGAAGTCCGCCTGCTGCAGCCAGAACGTGGGCTGGAAGAGGTGCTGCTTCTGGTTCTTGTCCTGCAGCTCGTCCAGCTGCTCCAGGTACTTGGCCAGTTGCGCCTCGAAGGCCGTCAAGAAGCTCGCCGCCATGGCTGCACGTCACTCGTTGCTTTCAGCCAAGCGACCAAAAACCCAAAATACGCCTTCTCCACCCACCCAATATAACAGTAACGCAATCATTGCACTTCATTGGGTTCCATGTCATTCTACTTTGGGTTTGCGAGTCACTGACGTGGACCACAAAAGACAGTCACAGCGCGGGAAGTGCAGCAAGTCTCAAGTCACTCTCTCACAGTCCTGCTGCAGTCAGTCCCCTCCTTTAGCTACAGTAGAGTTGTTGCGCCGACGCCAATGCAGATGATGGGCCTGGCGGCCGACGACATGATGGACGAGTGGGAGTGGCCCGCCAACTGCAAGGCGCAGCGCGAGATGGAGAACCACCTGCGCTGCCAGATCTGCGGCGACTTCTTCCACGGGCCCGTGCTGCTGCCCTGCTCGCACACCTTCTGCTCCGCCTGCGTGCGCCGCTTCATGCAGAGCAAAGGCACCAACGCCTGCTGTCCGCAGTGCAAGCAGCCCTGCGCCTCGAGGGACCTGGTGCCCAACCGCGCGCTGGAGCAGGTGGCGCTGCTGTTCGAGAAGTCCAAGCCGGAGCTGCTCAAGCGGCTGCAGGGCGGCGCGTCGGCCCCGAGCTCCGCCAACTCCACGCCCAACACGGAGAGCGGCAAGACCAGGGGCAAGAGCAAGGCCAAGCAGGACAAGCCCGAGCGCATGCCGCTCGTGTCCTACAGCGTCATGAGGGACAAGGAAGTGCGCAAGCTGCTGGACTCCATCAACGTCCGCGTGCCTACGAAGAACCGGGACGAGATCATTCAGATTCACAAAGAGGTGGGAACAGCAGTTTCTTCGGACGGGTCTGTGTTGCACGTTAGATATTTAGATCTCTTTGCTGATTTTCTGGTTGGCTGCACTTGGCTGGGTCGATTGTTTCTTTTCGGCTTTATTTGTTGTCGCTACTCTGTTTGTACTGTAGTACGTGCTGCTGTCGAACGCTCAAGCAGACTCGGTCATCCCGAAGAGCACGAGTCAGCTACGTGAAGAGGTGGTGCGAAACCACTACGCCAGAATTCAGCAGAAGGCTAAGGCGGACGCGTTCAAGCGGTCCCATAGCGGGGGAGAGAATGCAGGAAGCGGGAACGCGGCGTCTCCGGCATCCGGCGTGTCGGTGCAAATGCGCGCCAATTTTGAGAAACTTAGACAAGACATTGCCGACCGGAAGGCGGGGAAGAAGCCGCCGACGCCAGCGACCGACACGTCGTCAGCAAATACTCCAGCGAAGTCACAGGGTAATACTGCAGAGGGGGATGCGGCTTCAGTCGGCGTGTGGCGTCACTTTTGTGCGCTGGATACGAGCATCAAGCAGGAGTTCTACGTGAACTCGGTGACACATGAAATTCGAGTGGAGTTGCCGTCCCCACTCGTGCAGGAGCAGTCACCTGCGAATCGCTATGATGATTTGGGGGGCGTTGCCCGTGCTGTGGCTGAGAGAGAATCAGCAGTCAGGGGCCGCAGCGGCGCAGTCAAGACACCGACCAAGGCGAAGGCAAAGGCCAAACGGGCGATTGCACCGGCGTTTGCTTCACCTGACGCAACGTCCGAGTTCCAGAGCGCTACTGAAGAAATTGTCGTCTCAGACAATGAGGAGGAGGACGCAGAGGATGAGCAGGAACTTGCGAGTGAAGGCAGGAAGCGAGAAAGTCTCGGCAAGCATGCTCGGAGTAACGATGACAGCGACTCGACAGCCGGCGAGGCTATTGCTGCAAGTGCGAGTGCTGAAGATGACGCTGGCGAGACAGCTAGCGAGTGGCAGTGCTCCAGGTGTACATTAATCAACGAGCCGGCATGTCAGCAGTGCGAGGCGTGCGGCTTCGAGCCGGTTCCCGCGAAGAAGCGGCTGCGCAAGAAGATGCATTTCCAAAGCAAAATATCTTTGTCATAGACTTCAGTTTGATTTTTTTGTCTCGCTTTCATAATAATGCGAGTGCCCATTTTGCCTTCAGTCTCAGTCTATGATAGCAGCGCCTTGAACTCCTCGTACTCGATCTCTCCGCTGCCGTCGGTGTCCAACTCGTCCAGCATCCGGTCAATGTCAATAGGTAGGCCAAAGTCCTTCTTGATAAGTTGCACCAGCATTTTACGTTCCACGTGACCTGTCTTGTCAGCGTTGCCTCCACAAGCTACAAATGCGTCGATGAAGTCGGACTCGTCGTCGAACTGCGCAGCGCGCAGCTTCTGGGCCTCGATCACCTGCAGAAACTCAGCAAACTCGATTTCTCCGCTGTGGTCGTTGTCGACCTCTGCGATCATCTGGAACAACTCCTCGTCTGTCGGCTTCTGCCCCATGGCCTCCAGCACCTTCGACAGCTCGTACTTGTCGATAGTGCCGCTGCCGTCTTTATCAAAGTGCACGAAGGACTCGCGGCACGCATCGATTTCCTCTTGCGTCAGGATCATGGCCGCAGCTTTCGGATCAAGATAGTATTGCAATAAAGTCGGCGTCGCTTCAATCCAGCAACTTCTACAAAAATAATAAGAAGAACCAAGATTAAGGAGGAAAGTTGAAATCAGGAGTCATTTGGAATTAATAAACAGCACTTCCTGGCGCCACATTCGTCGTGGCACAGTACAGTACACTGCATCTGCATACTGCTATCAGTTCCTTTCACTTGTCGATGCTAAATCCTTGTCGTCTCTCCATTTCATGTGCGTTGATGATTATCATGTTGCTGTCCTTAGATCTTGATCAGCAGAATCTCGCGCACGTACAGCGTCTGTTAAAACAAATGGTAGTCAAAAGTGAGTCAGCATGAATGGATGGATACACAGAATCTTCAAGTAGCGGTCACATCGACGTACCCAAAGGCGCTCACGCTTCTCCTGCGTGGGCAGCAGCCGGACGAGCTGGGGCACGAGCTCTTTCATCTGGGTGTGCGAGCAAATAGAGAGCAGGTAGCTGAAGAACGCGTCCAGAGACATGGCGTCCTGGCCGAAGAGACGGCAGTTGTCCTTGAACACCTGCAGGTTGGCGTAGGGGCACTTGGACTGCACGAAGTTCATCACCTCCGAGTACACCTGCTTCATCTCCGCGCCCTTCACAGACGGCGGGAGGGGCGGCACGGGCTGCTGCGGGGCCTTGGGGGCGGAAGGCTGCACGAACGAGTTGTACATGGCTTGAGCCTGTGGCGGCGCTGTGTACGAAGTGTTAGGCGCTGGTGCCGGGTACGACTTGTACTTCAACGACGGGTTGGTCGGGTGCGAGTGCGTCGACTCGGTCGGCGCCGGAGGAGCCACGCCGCTCTTCCGCTGCTCGAACTGCGCGTACAACTCCCGTTCGGACTTGTACGAGCTGTATCGGCGTAGCCGCGGGTCATTAGGGTCCGGCTGCACAGTGGCCGGTGCTGGCAGCGATGACGACGACGCCGATACCCGCTGCTCGCGGTTTGAATTCGAGTTGGAGAACGACGAGGTGCGAGAGCCCGTAAAAGATGCGCGAGCTGCGGCGGCGTGGTCCGCCGCATCGGGCGTGCCGGTGCTGTTGCGGTAGCTGTTGCTCGTGCTGGTGCGGCCCGATCCGAACGAGTTCGGGTTGGGTTCGACGCCAAGTCCCTGCTGGCTACAGGCACGGCGAATGGAGTCAAACAGCACGTCGCAGGAGCCCGGAGGCGGGGCCACCTGACCGCTCAGAATCTCACTGGGGGTGACCTTGCGGCCGTAGAACTGCCTGTTCATCTCTCCGCGGACCATGAACGTGGAGCCGTGGAGACCAACGCCGGCGAACGCGCCCTTGGCGTGGCTGTACGTGTAGTTGCCACTGATGCCGCCTCCACCAGCGTTAACGCTGGCGCCGGCCGAGCGGCCGACGGGACCCACAGCCAGGTCCAGGCCGGCACCGACGGAGATCTGCGTGCCCTTCTTGAAGGTCTTGACGGCGTTGGGGGAGCCCAGAACGATGAGGAAGTCGATAATTTCACCCCCGATTTCGGCTCCGAAGCCCATGCCCGCTGTTCCGATGCCCGATGGACTTTAAAAGCACCCAAACACAGAGAAACAAACACATTTAAAAATTATATAGCCGCAAAAATGCAATTAACAAGAAAAATATGCAACTTACGGAGACCACGAGCCGTCCTCGAGGCGCGCCACGACCACGCCCGTGCCCATTTTGCCCGTCCAGATCATGCCTGCCTTGACGACCGTGAGGAAGGCCAGACCCGCGGCGTTTTGAATCATTTCCGCAGGGATAGCGGAGTCGGCGTCCACCGTGGAGCTAAAGCACGAGTCCAGGATGGCGGCGGCCTTGACAATCTCCTTGTCCATGGACGAGTGGTAGGGCATGTGGAGCGGCATGGTGGTGGCGGGGGGAAAGCAAGCTCCAAGGAGGCGGCGGGGGGCGAAGAAGGCGTTAACGGAGCTCTTCGGCGATTCTGGTTCTCTCGCTCTTTGCCTAGTCGGACAGCGATATGATGAGCGTCAGAACTGTGCTCTTGGGGTTTGTATGGGTCGTGTGGTGTGTCTCACACGAGGGACTTGTATTCGGAGTGCACTCATGACGCGGTGAGGAAAATAAAACTTCAAAGTTTCGTCTGCCCAAATTTTGAAGTTTCAACTTTTTCGAGAGGATGTCTAGAAAATAAATGTTTTGCACTTCGCGTCGGTAGAATCAGTAACCACAGTCTGACGGCCCGAGTGGTGGCAAAAGATCTGTGGTCCACAGATCTTTTGCCACCACTTGGGGCCGTCGCGACAGTTACATCAGTGGGAGGAAGTGCTCCAGCCTGAAGCGTTGGAGCACGAAGCAGGATAATGGTCATGAAGCCACGTTATGATGGCTAATGATCGCACAGTCATCGATTGGCTGTCCACCCCGGTGTTGGTGCAGTCATTTTCCTGTTTTTAATACAGTAGAGTTCATTCATTACATATTACTGCGCAACACATAGCGGTATCAGAGCATCGTTCCTGTTAATTCATCTGCAACGCTTATTTACTTTCGCAAATGCGATTCTTTTAACAAAAAAATAATTACATTATGAAGTATGAGACTTTTTATGAAGTTTGAGAAATTGGTGAATGATCGTACAAATTGGCATCCAAAGAGGGTGTCATTATTGTTAAAACCGCCAAAGATGTCCATTCCAAGAGACAAAGAAAATGTATTGCCGCTTGCAAATACTTTGCCCTCTAAAATAGACCTCTAAAATAGTCCTCTAAAATAGACCACGCCTGTCTCTTAATATGAGTGGACACGAGATAGGCGAGGGCTGATTTAGCTTTGTGCTTTGGTGGGGGCCGCTTTTAGGTCCAGAAACTCGGTTTGGCCCGTCTAGAATGGCATTTCTGCGTTTCCAAGTCGTAGAAAAGCGCCTTGGTCGAGAAAACAGACCCCAACCTTGCATCTTAGACCTGCACTGGCGATATATATAAATCAGACCTAGGTCTTAATTAAAAGCTTGCTAGACTAAAATCGAGATTATTAACGAGATAATAAGCATGCGTTGGCCAAAATATATGCAAACGGCAATATAAGCCTACGCTAAATCTAAATTGTACACCTAAAGATAAAACGACCACATGCAGATTTCGCTCAAATGATAATACGAGCCCCGCTTTCTGAGCTATTTAAACGGCCGCGGGGATGCACGTTACTGAGCTGCGAGCAAATAAAGAGTGCAAACGGCCACCCGAGCCAAAATGTGGCCCTGTGTCTAATACAGTAGGTAGACAAATTTAGACATCCTCAACCATGAGCTCCAGTGTCTGCCCCGCCATGGGTTTCTTCTCCAGGTATCCCACGAATTTTTCGTCCATGTATATCAGCTCTCTTAAGACAATTGTGATCCTCGCCACACACACAGACGCACTAGATTCATGGTAGTGCACCCCAAATGCTTGCGCATTGTACTGCCACTGTGTTTCCAGCAGAATTCTCTCGCTATGACCGTGATCGTGCCGTTCTCGGTCGCGCATTGCACTCGGGTGTTGTGCAACGTGCCACCGCCACCAAAATCAAAACCGAGCGAGACGACAACATCGTCACAGGTAACTTCGATTGGGGCGATGACTGCATTAGCGCCAACTTCGACCGGGGCGGCGACTGCTTCAGCACCGCCCCCATGTTGCTCGTTCTCGAGCGACTCCAGGCGCTCTTCGTGGCACCGGATGCGTTCAATCAGCTCTTGTTCGTCCTTTTTTTAGCTTGTCAGTGACGTAACCCGCAGGCCGTGCAAATTGACTTCGTCCTTTCGGAGCTTCTTCAGCGTTAAGTTCTGCAGGTGGACTTCTTTCTTGACCTTTTTAATATAACGCCACATCTGCTCGTACTCCAGCCGTTCATGACGGGGCAGCAGAGTGGCGTGAGATTGATTTTCAGAGGCACTTACCGCGAATCTTGATGTGGCCTCTCCCTTCCCGTCTAGATCGGTGATTTTCTTGAGCACTTCAGATAGCGGGATTATTGGGTGGCGCTTACACAAATCGGAATCCCAAGCGATCACTTCTTGGTGCTTACCAGGAGTGATCTTAACATCTGGATCTTTGTTGTATATGTTGGCTCTCGATCGCATCACCCCATCCTCCATATAATCGTGACCACCTCCCTCGCTGAAAAGGTTATACCATGAGAACGAAAACAGATCATCTACCACATGCGCAAACAACCACTTACCATATTCTGGAGATCCATAGAACAGAATGTCTTCTTGGCTTTTAAGCTTGTTATAAGCCGCGTCGGAGTAGCTGGCAGATCCTGTAAGGTAACGTGAAAAAAGCAATCATTAGAAACACTACAGTCATAAAGAGGTTGTTGTAAGTACGTACCAAATTGGACAACGTCCATGTCAAACACGGATACAAGTAAGTCGTTGTCTGTAGCTTCCTGTACATTAGTCCGATCTTTTGGCGTACTGCACAATCACCCCAGCTTCTTAATCGCCATCTTGGTTGCCAATTTTTCATCGACATACACGATTGCCTTGATCCCATTTTGCCGAGCAAATATCAGCGCGTCCAGAATGTCATCCAGGCTGCCACAACGCACACGAACTATGTACTCTTGATCTTCAGGATCAAATAGTCCCAGCGCCCTCCGGTTCCGGCGTGTTATCCCGGCGCCCATTGGTCCACCGATCCTCGAAAGGTTTCCACCACCGCAGAACGCGTACATTGAAGCCGTAGCATTCCTCAGCCTCGCCTTCTTCTCCTTGTGTGTCTCCTTCGTCTTCATCGTCGTCTTCAATGTCGCTGTCTTCATCGTCGAAGACGTGCGTGTGTGTAGTCATCCGCGACTTGCTCCACCACGTCGCGCTCTAACTTGAAGTCCCTGGATGCGCTGTTGGTGTCGTAGTGCAGTTGCTCGTTGAACTCGCTCCGCCTCTGATTCACAGGGTCGTCCAGCCATTCCATCGGCTCGAATTCGAGCAGGAGCGCCGATTACCACCAGTCCAAGACGCGGGGGTGCTTGCCAGGACCCATTTCCACAGGGATGGGTCGCTCCGGAACCCTTGTGGCCAACAATGGGGATGCGTTTGTGATCTAACGAAAGCTGGCAGCGTTTCTGTGGTAGCTCCATTAGGTGGTCTTCTCTGACTCTCGCAGCGGAAGTATCGGGCATTCTAGTGATGCGCTTAGACTGACTTTGCTTGGCAGTCAGACCTGGCATGCACCTGCATTTGGTCACGGGAGGCGGCACCCTTCGGCACATACATCCCGCCTTGATGCAACCATTATTTGGAGTCAGCAAAGATGCATCGCACATAGCCGGGCTCAATACCCTTGGAGGAAGGAAGTTCTCACACGCACTCATCCTCGCTTTTAAAAATCAGAGCTACACGGTATATCCAAACGAACCGTGTGGCGATGAAATCGTTACAGGTCGTATGGTGCGTAATCCACGAGGGACTTGCGAAATACACCTATGAATGGCCATTTCTTTTAATTTTAACACTGTATAAACGGGGAACCTTATCGAATATGGCTCGGCTTTGGGCCACAATCGAATTCGAATCAATATGACTGGCATATGACGTTGCGATGGGACGACAACAGGAGTATCAAGTTGCTTTTTAAAATGACATCTACACTTAGTAGTCACTTCATCGTCTCATATCTAGCCGCTAAATGACAGACCGGTAGTACGTTTATGTATTGGAAGTAAGTTCACATTCAATTCCGTAAGGGCATATTTTAACTTTCCTGGAATTAGCTTTTTATAGAATCGACGTAACAGGCTAAATAGGCAAAATACGCGCAAGACTACACCTTTTCAACTTTGAAATGGCAAGTTAATCATATACGATGATTATGATTATGTTATTCAAATCATATTGCCGCTTGCAAATACTTTGCCCTCTAAAATAGACCTCTAAAATAGACCACGCCTGTCTCTTAATATGAGTGGACACGAGATAGGCGAGGGATGATTTAGCTTTATGCTTTGGTGGGGGCCGCTTTTAGGCCCAGAAACTCGGTTTGGCCCGTCTAGAATGGCATTTCTGCGTTTCCAAGTCGTAGAAAAGCGCCTTGGTCGAGAAAACAGACCCCAACCTTGCATCTTAGACCTGCAATGGCGAGATATATAAATCAGACCTAGGTCTTAATTAAGAGCTTGCGAGACTAAAATCGAGATTATTAACGAGATAATAAGCATGCGTTGGCCAAAATATCTGCAAACGGCAATACAGTTTATAATGCAATTTGCAGTTTTGAATTTGAAAAGGTATAGTGAACACTGCAATACGAGTAAATGTCACTTGGCGTACGCTGTCATGTCTGACCAGCAAAATAAAAAGGCGTTTTTACTGGTTTTCACACGGCTCATCTCTCGGAGGTCAAGGTGTGACGGGGCACACAGCACTACTTAACAGAGGAAGCAGGAGTATACAAACTTCAAGTGAACAGCCGTTCACGTGTCCCTGGTCTGAAGGGGACGACTTGACATGAAAAGCGGTAGATCTAAGACTGAATGTATTTATAGGTTGGTACAGATTTGGCCTGCATACAAATCCTAAGTTCCCTATAGTTTGTGTCATACAAAATGTATCTGTTGGCTCTGAGGCCACTTGGGTCACTATCCAGGGGAGTGACCGATGTAGCCATCCCTGAATAGTGACAGGGTCACTATTCCATGTAACCCTGTTACATCCTCCCCCACTTAGATTCGATCTTATCGACCAATCAGAGCGAGGTTACGCCGGCGACTCACATTTTACTCGCAAAGTCGAAATCCATCGACAACGGCGCGAGCTCTGGCGCCTCGGCTCCCGGGCCTCACAGAGCAACTGGCGCATCGCCGAGCAAGCCGCAGGCTCTCCACGTCGACCGGAAGCATGCCTCCAAAGCGCAGTGCGCGCAGTGCGAAATCACCTTCGAAACCGCGGGCCGTAGGGCCGAAGACCAGGGCGGCCAAGGCCAAGGAAGAGTCGTCCGGGCTGATGGAGGCCACGAAGGCGGCCGAGGAGGTGGTGCGCTCTCGTAGCAGCACGCCGGAGAGTGGCCGTCAGGCCGGGGCTCGGAGCAAGTCTCCTGACGCTGCGCAAGGCAAGGAGGAGAGCCCTCGGGGCCATAAAAGCCCGGCTCGCGACTGGGAAGCCGCCGTCTTTGACTGAACGATGGTCCAGTACTCCGGTGAGAGTCACCGACGACGAGAACGTCTCGGAGGGCAGCACGCACGCTGCCGAAGGCACGGAGCTGGCGGCAGGCGACATGACCAACGCCTCGGCCGACGCAAAGGCCTCGTCAGAGAAGGAGGCGGAGGACGCCGAGTCCGGCTCAGGCGACAGCAAGCAGTCGCACGACGAAGTCGCCATGGCCGACGCTGGGGTCGTGGCCGAGAAGTCGCCGAGCGACGCGGGCTCCAAGCCCAAGGAGGTGCTGGCATCCAAGCATCTGACGCTGGCACAAGGTAGTGAGCGTGCCCAAGCGTCGAAAGCGGCTGCCGCTGCGAAGGCCGCCGAGGCCAAGGCGAAGAAGCGTTCAGCTTCCAGGTCGCCTCGCGACTCCAGCTCCAAGCTGTTCATCGACTCGGAGTCTGAGGACGAGGAGGGTGCCGTCCACGAGCCCAAGGAGCTCTCCAACAACCTCGACGAGCAGCAGCAGCAATACCACGCTGCTAGCTCGGGTGCGTATGCCAGGCAGCCGACTGCCACGACTGCCATCGCGTCTTCTTCAGGCGGGGATGCCACGAACCCGCAGGGCTACTTCCCGCCCGAGCCTGGCACTGGTGCGCCAGCGCTGTTGGAGAAGCTCTCGGCTCCTCGTGGCCTTATCGGCGGGTACACCTCGAGGGGTTCCTATGAGCGTGCTCTTGTTGAGAAAGAGCCACTCTTTCTTGGCGACGTTGAAGTCGCCCGGTGTGTGCTACTAGCACCACACAAGCTCACACTGAAGGAGTTCACCACACTTCGAAAGAAGCCGGAGGACAAGGGTGGACTCCATCCTGTGTGGGGTTTCCGCTGGGTCAAGCCGAATGACAACATGACCTGGCGCGAGGTGGAAGACCTCTTCTGGCGGTACGTCCAGCGCAAAGGGTATTCCGACCAAGAGTTCAAAGAACTCCGTGAGGATCGCACTCTGTCCGCAATCCTGGACGTGCGCGAGCTCCGCATCGAGTTCGCTCAACTCGTGAGCAAGCGCAAGCTCCACTCGAAGATGGACGAGCGGAAGCAAGAGGCGAGAGCCAAAGCTCGTGAAGAGCGCGGGCGTGGTGCGACTACGTCTGCTACCGTGCCCCAGGAACCGGCCAAGAAGCCAAGGACTACTTACGAAGCTGCCGCTGCTTCTCGTCCCATAGCTCAACAGCCTTCGGGCAGTCTGCCTGGAGCTGCTCAACGGGCTCCCACGAGTTATCCGACTCAGGGTAACCCCTCCACTTCACGAGCAGCTGGCGCTTGCCATGGAACCGCCGCTCCCGGACGACTCGTTCCACGTGGTAGTGGATCTGCCCATTACGATCAAGGAGGGCCGGCGGTGGCCTCGCACGGCCATGGCTACGAGCCTGAGGCGACGCAGCCGTATGGTGGGGCCCCGAGTCAGGTGGTGGCCCTGCAGCAAGAGAGATTCGTCTTCTCCGGGACCGTGTGTACGTCCTCGAGATCGCGCTTGGCGTCGGCCTTGGTGGCGAGGCTGCCGCTCGTGCTGGTCAGCCTGGTGCCGTGGAGCGGCTCCGTGAGGCGGTTGCCTCGCTCTATCAAGAAACTCGCAGTCTCCATGGCCGTGTGGATCGTCGAGCCGACCTGTCGTCTTACGACTCGCTGCGAAACCAGCTCGCTGGCCTTCGGGCCAAGCTTCATGGCCACGCGCCGTATCAGGAGCAGCAGCAGCCCCACTCGTATCAGGCCCAGTTTGGCCAGGGCTCGTACAGGGCCCCTGCGTATGCTGCTCCGATGTGCGCCGCGCCGTCTTACGACCAGCGCGCGTATCAGGCGCCTTACCGCGACCCGACGCCGCGCTTCGAGGAGCTGCGCTCTTCTCCACCGGGCCACCCACCGCTTCCTGTGGGGCAGCCAGAGCCAGAGGGTCATGGTACCTCTTAAGACGACCCACGTAAAATGTCGGGTGAGTCGTCATCGCCTTGGGCAAGTCTATGGTGTACGCCGCGCCATGCCGGCTGAGGACCGTGAAGGGTCCAATGAAGCGGTGCTTCAGCATTTTGCTCTCGACCGAGCTAACAGTGTTTAGCGGTAGGTTTCTAGTATCTAGGAGAACTAAATCCCCAACCTTAAACACGTTCATGTTTCCTCTTCCATTTCGGTCAGAGTACTCCTTCTGTTTATCTTGGGCTTGCGCCATGGTGTCTCGCACCCTGTTGATTATGTTCAGCCTGTCTTCGGCAAACGAGGACAGTTGCTTCCGCAAGGTGGCTGGACTCACGTCCGAGACTTGGGAGGAAAAGGTTTTCCGAGCCTCTCCCCCACTTAGGACCGAAGCCCCGGTACTGCCTCGTAATGTGAGCGGCACCTGAGGGTGGCGCAACCCGATCAGGTAAAAGGGCGTAAAGCCCGTCGATGCATGTACCGCATTGTTGAGTGCGAACTCAACCATGGGCAAGCGATCAGCCCAAGAGCGGGGCATCTCCGCGCAGATACTGCGGAGCGTGTCTTCGAGCACGCGATTGACGCGCTCCGTCTGGCCATCCGTCTGCGGGTGGTCCGCCGTCGACATCGACAGTCGTGTGCCGAGAAGGCGAAACAGCGTCTGCCAGAACGTAGCGGTGAACCGCGGGTCTCGATCAGAGACAATGGTCTCGGGCAGACTGTGGTATCGGAAGACACAGTCCATGAATAGGCGAGCGACCTCGTCGCCAGTGACGGTGTCACGAACTGGAGCAAAGTGGACCATCTTGCTCAGACGGCACACGAAGGCAACAACACCAGTGTTGCCACGGTCATCGGCCGGAAATCCAAAGACAAAGTCGAGACTCATCGACTTCCAGCAGTCCGCTGGGACTGGCAGGCTCTGCAATGGTGCCGAGGCGTGACCGGCAGGCTTCACGCGCTGGCACGTCTCGCACGTACGAACGTAGGTGGCGACCCACTTGTAATGTGACGCCACCAAAACATCTGCGAGACAGACGCGTACGTCTTCTCACGGCCGAGATGGCCACTGGATGGAGCG